TAACTTTCTAATTTCGTAGTTTTTTATAGCTACTTTAGCAAAGTCGCTACGTAGCTCCGTCTAAGGCTTTATTTAATACGCCGTCGTAACTACCGTTACTTCCTCTTATATTTAAGGAGATAGGGGAGGGATCTCTGCCTTAGGAATAGTTGCCTCGTAGGCGCGGAAGGCAACGTTACTAGTCTATCCTATATAGGCTACCTCTTCCTCTTATAGTTATACTACTAGAACTTTTACGACGTCTTCGAGGATATACTTATAATCGACGAGGTAATTAATTATATCCTCGTCTAATTCGTCTTCCTATACGAACTTAGCGTTATTAGGTAGTTAACCTAGACGGTTATACTAAGCGAATCGCCTTAAGTTTAGGAACTTCTACTATACGTTCTAAGGTTTATAGTCTTTCTAGTTTTATTATTTCTAGTTAGGTTACGTTTTCTTTTATTACTATTAAGGCTGGTTACGTTATAGCTAGGGAAAATCGCGTTTCTCTTAGTTCCTATTGTTCTAAGCTAGGCGTAGTTCTCCCTATAAAGCGTTATCCTTACTATCTAGGGTGGTTGTATAAAGAACCTTGATTAGGGTCTGTAGGTATCTTCGAATAACTCCGCGTTTTTCCTCGGCGAGTCTAAGATAGCTTTTAACCGTATTATTAAGCGTTAGTTCGTAGAGAAATCGTTATAAAGATAGGTCTAGAGCGTTATAGAATATCGTAAGTAGTTACTACTAGGGCGTTAACGATCCTAACATGCTTTACTATATTTAAAGCAGTCTTAAGTAAATAATTAGATATCCTTATTACTACCGATCTTTTCTATAGTAAACTTATTAGATACTACTATTAATTGCTTCTATCTAGGTTAGCTTAAAGCAGGCTTTTAGTCTCTTCTATAGGCTAAACTATCCCTAGGCTTTATACTAGTTCCTTTCTACGGGCTTGAGGTGATATTCCTACTAGCTAAGTATTTTACTTCTAAGTAGGCTTTGCTATTCTCTAAAGACCTTGTCTCGAGCGTAAGGATTAACGATCTTAGCTTCGATTGCTAAAAGCTATAGGTCTACGTCTCGGTAGTATATATCTCTCGGTCGTAGAATATAGGCTCCCTACTATACTTACTATTAGCGTCAGGCTAGAATACTCTATATCGTTACTAAATATTCGTTATAGTTATAAATCTCCTCCCTAGGTTTAATAGTTTCGATCCTAGCGTTACTATGCCTAATAGCCTTCCGAACGCGTTTATTAGCATTGCCTCGAACTACTACTATATTTAAGGGGGTAGTAAAGTCTAGAAGGATAGAAATCCCGTTGCTATTAGGTATAGTATCTACCCCTAAGGGGGAAGGTATCCTCCTATGCCGGGGGTATATATTACTATTAAGGATTCTATCCCTAGCTTAGTATAAATTGCGTTCCTTCCGATAGGGTCTTTATAACTTATGCTTCCGTTTTTAAAGGAATAACTTCGGCTTATAGCGGTTTCGTATATTATTATTAATTTAACGGTCTTGCTTGTTGAAAAGTTTGTTAAGGTTGGCTTGCGGTTATATCCGATACTGCTGACTATGGCTTTTAGGGGTCTTTGTAATTCCCTTCGTATTAGCTATGCTTAAGTAGTGCTTTAGGAGGTTGTTGCTTTTGCTATTAAAGCTGTGTTAGCGGCGTTATTAGCGCTAGTTTGGTAGTTTTGTTATTTCTTACGGGTTGCTTGCTTTTCGTAATGTCTAACTCTTCCGAGCTTAGTTCTCCGAATTATCCTTAAAGGTCCTAGAGTTCTTAAGCGTAGATAATCGCCTTAGCGATACTATTTACCGCCTTGTTATAGTCGTAATTCTCTATCCTCTAGCTGTCTTCGAGTTGCGTTGCCTAAGTCTAGGTTCTATCGTCGTATCTAACGTCGATTCGGCTAATATTCGTATTCTACGCGATAAACGCTATAATACTTATATATACTCGAAAGGAGTCTAAAATTCTTATTATTTTAGGATTATTAAGATATATCTCCTAATATCGTAAGAGACGTCTTGCTATCTCGCGATGACCGTTATTTAACCTCGGGTTATTTATATAACTTATCGTATAAGTCTACGTTAGCTACGTCGAGGTATAGGTTATGATTTTAAGCGAGTAGGCTTATAAGGTATTTCCCTCGAGATTCTCCGCGATATATCGCGGTTAAATCAAGAGAAAAAATTAATCGAAATTAAGTTATGCTACTACTTATTATAGTTCTTCCTACTAGCACGTAGCTATAATAGGCAGAGGTCGGAACCGTAATAAGAATAGAGATATAAATAGAATAGTATAAAAGTTAAATAAATAGTTATAAGGTAATAAATAATAATAAATTAATAAACGTAAGTATAAGTAGTTAGTCTTCTATTAAGTTAGCCTACTAACGATAATGCTGTCGAGGGCGTCTCTTATACAGGTACGGCTAGCATGTAAGATATTACGTACCCTTAATAACTATTTATAAAACTATAATAATTATACTTCTCGATCTCGAATATAAACTATATAATTTCGATATTACTTTCCTAGCTACCTTAATTTTAAAAAAGGTTAAGGTATACGTCTAGCCCCTACTAGCTATACTATTATAGATAATAAGGTTTAGCTACTTTATAAAGCATTTTATAGATTAAGAAAATTACTATTTTAATAATTTCGACTTATTAAAAATAAAATAAAACGAATTAGCTTTACTATTATTAATAAAAAGGTTTATCTCTTTATTAACTATAAGATTAAAACATACGTTCTTATATATATTAATAATGGGAATTGATAGGGACGCATCACGAATTGATAGGGACGCATCTGTCAGATTGAGCGCGCTACGCGAGGCTTCGGCAACGCTCGGCAGAACACTATTTCCGAGCGCCGAGCCCCGGGTCAGGGGGTGGCATACCCCCTTCCCTACGCGCCCCTGAAGGGCCCTTAGACAGTTACACACATAACGGAATATACATCGTTCTGAACCCTCAATTCGACAGTAACACCATGTCTCCCCTCTAAGAGGCATGTCCCTATGCCGAGGACCAATCGGACATATCGCGGGTATAAGCAGGGAAACTCCAGGCTAGTAGGGAACCAATCTACATAATTGCCTGCCCACGGTCGGGCGTCGCAGGGACCAGGGAGGACTGGCGACGTATGGGATTTGAACCCACAACCCTCTACGCGGGGTGGAGTCATCATTGTGTTACGAGCAGGTCAGGGCAACCAACTGTGGCACAAAGCAAAAGCTTCGGTAATGATGACTCCGGCATCATTATCCCCTGTTCTGCACTATATAGCTACGCCGGCCAGGCACCAACTGGTTGGGCCGTAACAAGACTATTAATATTAAGACTTCGGGATTCAGAGGATTTCACAGCCTCCTATTAGCTAGGTCTAACTAGTAATTAACCGAGTTTTCTAATAGTTAAGAACTCCTCGGATTTAGAGGAATTAGGACTTTTCCTGTATTTTCCTATTATTCTTTTTCGCTGAGGAGTCTGAGAGGGGGTGTGGGTGGCAGGCCTCGCCGGCCCGTCACGTGGGCTGACGGCCGCCACCACTGGTCTTAGCCAGCCTCCACAGCCCTCTAGCCAGTTAGTTAGTTCTTCCAACCAACAACACCACTTTTCCCATTCTGAGCGTTCTGTGCCGGTTCTCGCCCACATTAAACTCCAGCAGAAGGGTGTAATTCTACATCTCGGATAATCGATTCAACATTCATCAAAGAGATTTAGAACTGCCAGAAGTCAGAGAACAGGAGATTGGATAATTTACATGCCAATAGATAGAATATCTAGGCAATATAAACACAGAAAGTTGAGCGGAAATAAACGTTTTAACCAGGTGTCGCAACTTGAAGGACTTCAGCAGAAAGCCCATACGTCCGACGCTGACCATGGCTTACTTGCGACAGTGACTTCTGTCGGGCCATAGTATATAGCAGCGAGTCTTTCATCAAATATGGTAGAACTGTGGTCAAAGTGTTATCAGGGTAACTAATTAGAAAGTTTTGGATCTGTATTTCTACGACAAGCATCACGAATGATGGTGTTTTACATTGATAAACGCCATTGGAAGACAAAATTGCTCCTTGCAGATGAGAATGGAGCTACACTCGCCATAATCGATGTTCGTTCAAAGCGAATATATGTCCACTGGGCCCGAAGCAGAAGTTGGCAACTCCTTCAGGAACGATAATCTTGCCCAAGAGCACTCCGCCAGGAGACCAAACATTGAATCCGTCTGAACAACCACTATATACGTTTCCTTCAGTATCGCACTTGATACCAGCGGGAATGCCACCGTCGGCAAATGCAAATAATCGCCGGTTCGCGAGAAATGGTTGCCCATGGCGATATATCACATCAAATGCATAGCTGCAGTTTGTGAGTCAAGTGCTATGAAAAAGAATAACAAAAGACGAAATCTTTTTGGGGGATAATCCTTGCATGGAAGAAGCATGACTATGGTCGATCGCAAGTCCTCACACTTGGTCTGTATCTGTAATATACACGGTCCTTTGATCAGGCGAAAAACATATGCCATTTTATCTACCCTGGTGGCCGACTGGAGCCTATGCCATGGCATCAAATGCCCCAGTCACATTGGGAAGCCATTAACTTATTATACATCGCCTCGTTCAGTAGTCTTCTCCTATTGTCTCTGGATCCACAGACAGATCGGGGAGCCATTGGTGATTTGACCGACATATTGCTTACAAGCACAATGGCGGGCAACCTGGCAGGTAGACGGTACGCCAAGGTCGTTTTGGAACAGCAGTTCCGGGAAGCTTTTACTTCTTTGGGCTTCTGAGTCGATAGAGAATAGCTCGCAGCATGGGCTTTGAGCTGGCCAATAGGGACTGGTGGTAGGCACGCATAATCTCACTTCCATGTCTATTATGAGTCTTGTGGTCAATTTGAGGCAGTCGTCGATGTTTCTACCGAGGCTTTGATACACAGCGACAGGCGAACTAAGCAACCAAGCTATGTCAAGGTTTGTTACAAGGATACTCAGGCCATCTTGGATTGTCATTATAATGCTCTGCCCAGTTCTTGATTGCTTCTTTGGGGCTGCAAACGGGAATGTCTCCTGTTCCCGGCACCTTGAAATCGCCGTCTGCATAGAAATCGAATAAGAACCGCGCGGTTTCGCCGTCACTCAGATCCGGGGGTTTTGACCAGTCGGCGCGGTTCCCTTTCTTTTTATGCCACTCAACGGCACTGCGAAGCGAAAGTACGTTAGCTTTAGCTGGATTAAAAGTGTCTCAAGGCCGTAACAGAGCCGGATAAAAAGTGAAGACGCGAAAACATACCTTGCGGCAAGATCTCCTCTCGTGACCCCGTTCCAATTTCCATATTTGAGCGAATCCATACCCGCGACAGCGCTGAACTTTGTCTGACCACACATTTCGCATTGAAGCGGCCAGCCGTCGGGATCGACAAGATAGTACAGTTTGTGGTCCACACAAACTCTCGTCTTCTCTGCCGTACTTGCTTCCACATAGTCCCCAACACCGACTCCAACATAGTTACACGCATAGCCGGTGTCTAGGACTACCGGAGTAATGCCTCGCAGGTCCCATGCGGCCGGTATAAGCATCATGTACATGGCTTTACTGATATGATGACGTCGTTCAGGGTCGCCCCATTCTTCTGTCTGGATCGCATTTGTTTCTCCTGGAAGGCCCTCGTTAAATTTTGCGTCGCGAATGAAGGTCCACAAGGTGTCGATGTACTCGTCCTTGAGACCTTGAAACAAGTTAAGGTTCAGCACTTCGAGCTGTCTTCTCCACAAGTCGAATGTTTTCTGGAGGACGAATCCCAACTTGTCCTTGGTGTCTCCAGGCACGGCTCCTCCTGCTGCAAGCACGTCCTTTCCAGATGCTGTGGCAAGGTTCACGCCCGCTACCACACCCTCCTTAAGGTTTTCCCAAGAACCAGGCCTCTTGGAGTATGTACCAGTGAACTTGAAAACTATCAAGATTTGGTAGTCAGAAGATTGAAAAGGGTTTCATGGAATGCTGAGGAAGAAAATTGGCTGGTGTAGCTGGTCTTTCTGACTCACAGTTGTTGTAAAACGGCCCCATGAACATGCTGGTGCCAAAGTTGATCAGATTAAGGACGATCTGAGCAGCCAGGTCCATGGATTCCTTGACCGTGGGCGCGAAGGTCTCTGTGAAGGTACCAATCGTGGCGTCGATGTCACCCTTAGCTTTGTCGAGAGAGTCGTAAAAGTTGGAGTGAAACTAGTTGGTCAGTCTCGGAGTCTCAGAGTCACGGATGCAGAAGGGTTGGTTGCGAAAGAAAGTGAGAGACTTGAACAACCCTGGTGTAATGAGATAATAGCGTTTGTGATTAAATAGGCTGCTGGCCCGGTTGGCTTGTGTACGCTGCCCTTGAAAACGTCGCATGTTAATGTCTGTCTGCAGTTATTAGCGCCATCGAATAGCTGGCATTGCATCCGCGATGGGCCGTTGAACCTGTCTGAAATGAAAGACGTAAATGGGAGACGGTTGGGATTGATCGCTCTTTCATTCTTCCAGGCGTCAATGACCCATTTCCAGGCGGTGTTCGTATCTAGCGCGTCCCATCTTTCTTGCTTCGTCAACTTGTCTGTTTCTCCAACAGCGCCATGCCCGCAAGTCATGTTCCACCACGATAGCTTTTCAAATTGCCCGCCATCAGGGGGTCGATGTTCAAAGAAAACACCGGGATGACCTCGATCAAGTGGAGAGAACGATTCAAGATCAACCGCCCAGTCGCTAATGCCGCCAAAGTTGAGGCCCCTGTAACGCTCAATTCGACTGGCTTTGTTCGCCGCGTCCATGTAAGCCACCCAGTTGTTCCCGTTGAACACAACAATGTTTGATTCTGTGTCGTCTGTGAATTTGCGAACTCCGGTGAAACGACCGCTACTAATGATACCGTTGATTTCCGCGTCCGAAATGTAGCCCGCTGTGCCCGTGCACCAACCCTTCATCGCGAAGGACTCTTTATGATCGCCGGTGAAGGTGCATTGGGGACCAGAACAATTCGGATCCGACATTTGAAAAGATCTGCCGTAACTTGTGACTCCGATCAAAAGCTTCGCCGACGGCACGCCCGCCTTGGTGACCATGGAGAGGGCGTTAAGCGTCTCTGTCATGTTGATGTGCGATCGAAGGCAGTTGCCGCCGGGGCAACCCTAACAGATAAGTCAATGTACGATCAAACGATTGATGAAGGTGAAGCAGCACATACAGGTGATGACCATGGGTTGCCTGCGTCCCACTGGCCGTGCAGGTCATATGTCATGTAGACGATGTAGTCCACAGTCCGGGATATGGCTTCAATGGGCATACCCTTGAGATACCAATGAGATGCAGGAGCTGCAATCGAAAGTGATTTCCCAGAGCCAATCCTCGCCCTCATCAAAGCCAAGAAGTCCCGGTAGAGCGGGCCATCTACGGCGTCACCAGCGGGAATCCCTGGAATATCAGGAGCCGCCGGATACTCCCAGTCGAAGTCAACTCCGTCAAGGTTGAACTGGCGTATGAAGTTGGCAATGTTCGTAGCCAGCTTTACCCGGTTTGCTGTCTTTACACCCTCACGGAAAATCCAGTACGAGCTCGGATTCGTTGAAGCTTCCCATCCACCGAAAGCTACAATTCTTTGAACGCCTTGGAGCTTTACAAACTTGTCGAATTGTTCCTGGACCTTGCTGGTGTCAACCTCGAAAGTCGGGGTGATGTCGACGAAGGCAAAATGGATATGTGTAAATCGACTCTTGTCAATTTTCTCAACGTCCATGTGGAGGCAGAGCCGCTCTTTGTTCCAAGCTTCGAAGTAGCCGACACGGCGAAACTGAGCTGGGGGCTTATCGTTGTTGACGATATCCATCCCGCAGTTTGAGATGCATCCGTTGGTCCCTGGAGCGACGGTGCCTGGGCCCCCTTTACCAGTAACTGTGCAGAACTCAGCAGTAGTACCGCATTGGCCCCAAATATTGCAACACGCGTTTAAAGGACACGGGTTCAGGGATGCAAGAGATGCGAGACTTCTGTCCGATGGTGCGACTGTGTTTGGCTTCTGCGGTCCACAATTGGCGTTGCTAATCGGCTCCGGCATGGGTGGCGTGCCGCTACTCACGCAAAGCTTGATGTCGACGAAGAGATTGGTACAACCAGTAAAGCCCCATGTCCCTTTATTGAATGATTCAAGCTGCACGAGGGTTAGTCCATGAGCAGCTGCGATCTTGTCGCACCAGTCATCCTGTTTGACGGTATAAGTCGCGCAAGAACCATCAGGATTGGGCTTAGGTCTGATGTCGGGCAGTTTTCCAGTAGAACAGCAAACAAGCTGACCAACTCGAAGGGTCGAACACAGATTGGTGGTTCCCGAGTTGAACTTTGTGAAATCAGCCCCGCTGACACCGCACTTCGTCGCGAGAGAAGCACAGCTATCCCCGCCATCCACCTTCTTCGTAGAACACGTTCCATCGGAATTCTGAGGTGGTCCGTTGCTAGGAAGGGTTCCTTCTGAACAGCAGACTTGTTGATTGGGCTGTAATGTCGTGCAAAAGTTGCCTCCGCCGTTGTATCTGGAAAGGTTTGCCTCCGACACACCGCAACGATTTGCCACGGCCCAGCAGCCATCGCCAGCCTCCACTTTTGTGGTTCTGCAGTCTGCGCGGCGGTGAAGATGAGAATGACCCAGTCGTGCTCGGGGGTATAATGAGGCTGACGTGTTCCTTGATCCGGTGTGATTCGAAGAGTCAGCGGAAAGCTTGCGGAGAATCCCAGCGTTGTCCGGGGCCATCGGGAGCAGGACCTGTTCGAAAGAGCGTGAAACACCCACTCCAGATACACACTGAGCACCGCTCCATTGTCTCAATGCATTTTGAGCTGCAGAAAACGCTTTCAAGCCCCTGGTATCGACAACAAGCCCTACAGTGAAGTCGGACGGGGTGGTAGGCCCACAAGCTTGGACAATAAGACTATCAAACTGGCCGTCTTGCTTGACAAAGCCGAAAACTTGTTGCAAAAGTGTGGCAGCCAGAAGTCGCTTCTGAAATTGACCCCCGACGTAAAGGCCCACGACGCTGTCACCATAATGCGCAAAAATAGCAGTGGTGTTACTATCGTCGGACAAGTCGTCTTGCTGGAGGAGGTAATACTGAAGCTCTTGTAGAGCTCCTAGAACCTGTCCGCGGACAACGTTTCCAGTTGAAGGGGAGTATGAGAGTGTTGGTGTAATAGGAAGGAGGACGGTGTTGGAAAACGGAGCGTCGCGGCGTATCATCATAGATTTGGAACTACCATTGTTGAATATCTCTCGAACAGTCTTGCCGAGATCGAGGACGGTCTCTCTGATAGACTCGCCCCCAACGGAAACGCAAGAACGAATGAATGCGTTTGTATCGGGGTTGTCTAGGGAAGTATGAATTGAGAACTCCAAGAGCTTAATTTTCTCGTTGCATAGGGCTATATTTTGGGCATCCTGAAAACTGGTCCAGTTTGATGGATTACTGCCTGTATCCGCGCAAGAGTCAGGACACAAGCGCAATCCGGAAGCATCCTCATAGTGTTTCCTCAGGTTGTCTGCCGAGGGAGACGAGGCTGCATGCGACAGGCTTGCCAAGGCAACGAGAACACCAGCCCAGAGGTGTGTCCTATAGTTTTCGGTAAACCTCATGCCGAGACCTGGTCGTTCCGACAATCGGTCGACCAGCTAGCGAACAAAATTTGAGATAATGTGATATATGAAAGTAAGGAGAGGACGGCCATATGCGACCAAATTTATGTGTGGTGAAAGAAGGAATGTGACTTTGGCAATATAGCAATCTTCGACGTTCCTCTCGCAGCCTTATATGGGCACATCAGACGTCCCCAGACTCGACAACTTGTGCTTGGAGTTGTACTCCCGCATTAGGTACAGACAACCCAAGAAAGATGGGCAAGGTTGATGAACACAGCTTCATATCACGCGAGACGCCGTAGAGCAATTTCAGGCGCTGCATTTCTCCGGCTGTGTTTGGAATATCGGCCGTCTTTGCATGTGCCTAGCATGTTCACGGAGCTTAGTCTACAATCAGAACCAGGGCCCGTTTGGGCGATAGGTGCATGTGTCTAGCGAAATTTACGAGATTTCAATTAGCAAAACCTAGACATACCCAGCTGTTGAGTATTTCTGTACCATCCTGTATGGACGAGGCACAACCGAAATAAGTTGACAATACATTCTGCTATGCATCGACCAATTTCAAGTAGCTGTTTTGGATGCTTGTGTGAGAGTTGACTTCAAGCAGGGGTCCAACTCTTTATTGGTTGCCAAGGCGGTTAATTAGGCGTGGCAGGTCGTCAGGGGTGGTACAGTGTGCAGGACCTCAGCCTACGTGACAGGCGTCAAGATCATGCCTGACCCCATCCCCCGAATTTTCATTCCCTTCCTCATCTTCTTCTCATTCTTGAATACTTTGGTTCGCCTCCGGGCTGAGTTCCGGCTCAAAATCCACTTGAATCACTATCTCATTCTCGCTCTTTGTTTCACCAAAAGATGAAGATCCCCTCCATTACTTTGCAATTTTTCTATCTGAGTTTCCTCTGCGCGAACGCAGTCGAATCTACGAACATCGAATTAGATCTCATATTCCCCCCCAACAATACAGCATGGAAAGGCACTTACCCATTTCCCCTGGTCTTTGCCGTCCGCAACGCAGCCGTCGCTTGGAATCATACCTTGCACTTTAGCTATGATCTTCTTCCTATAAACGGTACACCGGCCGTTGTAGATCGAGGTGGGTTCTTCCCGAGACAAAGTGATGGGAGTATCCCTTGGACCAGCGAGCCGCCATCGGATACATTTCTCGTCATCAACAGCACCAACTTCTTAGTCAACATCACCAATACGGCATTCATTCTTAGATGGACTTTTGGAATATGGAACAACTGTACGAAGGAGACGCGCCCAAGTATATGGTCTCAAGGTGTGATAGACGGCCACATCCTCTTCAATATCAGCGAGTTTGCACCAAAACCTGATATTTCGGCTGCTGTCTGCCCTCAACACTTGCACACTATGGGATTTGAGGGCACGGAAGATTGGAATCCCCTGGAGTGGGAACATGGCTGCCCAGTCCTGGCGGATCCAGCGCCGCATGGGGATCCTTGCGGTTTCGCGATGAAGCAGGAGGATATTCGGGAGCAGGTGGAAGCTGAGATGTCGCGTCGTGCTTCTTGCTCAAATGGAACCTGGCCAAACATTACGGGACCATGCCTGAGTGGAGCCCGGTCTTTTCAAGCTGCATGTGAGAGGTATTGGCTCCTTGTATCTCTAGCCATTCTCTCTAGTCTTCTACTGGTCCTGGCTTAGATATCTGTATATGCTCACAGGTTTCTCACCACAATCACACTACTCTTCATAAAGATTTGCGCAGTCATTATTCGCGATGCATCACTTTTCTTGAGCAAAATCACATGCATCTCGCCAATTTGACCTACCTTAGGTCTTTTCCCGAATGACCGTTGCTAGTCTCCCACGTGCAACCTGGTTGATGCATTCCTCCCGGTGTCTTTCCCTGTTGGCGATGAGAAGATAGCCCGCCGAGCATCCGGCGCCTTTCCTCCGCGGATCCAATTTCACAGTGCATGTCTGCGCCGCCGGTGGAAGAAACCATTTTCTGATCGCCAGACTTGTTGACCTTCCAGTTTAGGCAAAACCCACCAAAGCGAACAACCTGGCTTTATCCCAACCGACACGAGGACCAGGATTTAATCTTAAATTTAAGATTAAATCGGTGAGCTTGCGGCGTAGGGCTGCAAACCCGGGGTAATACCCCTTTCCCCGGCTATCGTCCCGATCTTTCAGCTTCCCACAGCGCTTCCTTCCACGTCGTTTGCATTAGTGTAAATCGTGCTGTGGACAATCCGCTGATATCGCTAGTGAGTCATATTTCGGATAATGTCTTGCATACATGAAGGAGCCTATTTTGCCCAAATCAAGCATCGGCATGGCCCGAATGATCTACATGCTTTACAGGAAGTAATGCTCTAATTGTTGGACGTCTCTGTGCCACTCCAGTTGGAGGTCTGGGCCACGATGGCCTCACGGAGATGTTCCTTCTCCGAGCCATTGAATCAATACCAAGCTGGAGTTTCGGTCAAAGCGGCACGATGAGAACTTTTTGAAGCGCCTTCGGACCGAGAAGTCGTAAGCGAAACGACCGCTAACATTGCTGAGGCCATGTTTCTCTTTTTTTTTTTTTTTTTTTTTTTTTTTTTTCCCTGGAGTCATGTCAGACTCCGAACGCATAAGTTGAGTGTTGCTACATCCAGGTATGAGAAAGGACACAGGGGTACGCGTCAGTGAAGAGCACGAGAACACCAACCATGGCGAGATTTCTATAAAGTATATCTATATACATAAAAGCAGGGCTGCAATGTACTTGGAGAATGATCAGCCATAAAATTTACACACTCGCTTCGGAACCTTCACTCCTTGATCAGAATGTTGTCTTTTTCCAACTGTCTCGTTGTGGGATATGTTGCCATCCAGTCTATACTCTTTGCAGGCGGCGTGTCAGCGAGGGATACAACTCCGATGATGCCACATGATCCCAGTACCACATCTCATTGTAGTTGGTGGTGGGACAATGATGGTTCGATTACTTGTTTTGACATTTTGGAGTTTTGGGCAATTGACATCGCTACCATGACACGATGGGTATGTACATATTTTGCGCTGCTTTTCTGACTCTCCTGGATCTAATCACACAAGCTAACCCTTTCGTCAGAATCCGTCAATCACACCAGAATGCGGAAACTTCCAACTAGGCAGGTCATACTGCGTGGAGGCTGTCAACGAACCTGCCCCCGGCGATTCGAGTCCTATCCCGAGTGGAACGTCTACAGTAAGGTCAATTTCAACCTCATCCTCTGGTTTTACCTCCACATCTTCGAGTCCACCTTCGTCGACAAGCCAGGTCATGACTGCTCGAACAACGACCAGCTTGTTCACTTCTTCAACCGCACCAACAACTACAACAACAGGAAACGGCATCCAGACCCCAGGACCTATCCAGCCAGGCATGGTGGCCAACTGCAATAAATTCTACTTTGTCCAACCTGGGGAGAACTGCGAGCAGATAGCTTCGAAGAGCGGTCTGTCTGTTGCCCAATTCATTTCCTGGAATCCCAGTGTAGGTAGTACCTGCGGATCTCTATGGGCGAATGTGAATGTCTGTATTGGAGTTGTTGGCTTCCAGCCCAGCCCGACAAAGCCGACAAATGGCATACCGACTCCGCAACCGACACAGCCCGGCATGACGGACAACTGCTACAAGTTCTATTTTGTACGACCGGGAGAGACCTGCAACGATGTAGTCGCGAAGCACGGCATATCGATGGGCCAATTCTCAAACTGGAACCCAACTGTAGGCAGTACTTGCGGTGACCTCTGGGCCAACGTCAATGTCTGCGTCGCTGCTTTCCAATCAATCCCAAGCTACCAGGCTTATGGCTGTTTCACAGAAATTCCAAGTCGCGCTCTCAGTAGCGCTGGATTGACTGGGCAGGCGGCCATGACTGTAGAGTTTTGCTCTGTCTACTGCATGATAGAGAAAGGCAGGTCGTTCTTTGGCGTCCAATTTGGCGGCGAGTGTTGGTGCGGTGATGCCCTTGGCGTAGGCAGTCTGAAAGCTGCCGATGGTGAATGCAACATGCCATGCACCGGAAACAAGGCCCAAAAGTGCGGAGGAGATGGCAGGTTGAACTTGTACGGCAGGCCTAATAATCCGCCTGTGGCGTACAAGGATTACGGCTGCTACACTGAGGGGACGAACACACGCGCGTTTGGCGTTGCCAACATAATGAGCGACTCTATGAGTGTAGGGTACTGCGCTGACTATTGCCTTCGTCAAAAGGGCACAGTACACTTCGGCGTGGAGTTCGGGCGTGAATGTTGGTGTGGGAATAATCTCGGCATTGGCGCTGTTGCGGCGCCCTCCGTTGAATGCAACATGGCTTGCGCCGGTAACTCTAGAGAGAAGTGCGGTGCAGCTAACAGGATCAACGTCTACAGCACACTCGCAACCACGCCGCCGATGAATTTCAGATATCAGGGCTGCTTCACCGAGTTAAGTAACGAGAGAGCCTTGAGTGGCGGTAAGTCTCAACCCACTCCCCCCATCCGGCTTGGAAGTATACGTCAAGTGCTAACGAGGAGTTCCCGGACGCAGCAAACTTGATTGGTGACCCTAGTATGACAATCGAGAAATGCGCCAAGTTTTGTATTGATAAGAACTTCAAACTGTTCGGCGTTCAATTTGGGAATGAATGTTTCTGTGGTTCTCAACGTGCATCGGGCTCCACTGCTGCCAACCCGGATGATTGTAACATGAACTGTCCCGGGAACCCCGGCCAGAAGTGCGGCGGAAGGAGTAGACTTAACATCTACCAATGGAACTGAGAAGTGCTTGGCATCAACTAGGTATATATCTCTGACCTTGGGTACCACATGTGATATAGCTTACTGTTATGGAACAATGGGAACCCTCTCCCTACCTAGTAACTCATGCCTCTTGTGCCTCATGATGCTGGCCCAATGACTGAAACCAGTGACAAGTTTGGACCCGTTGATTTTCTACGCTTTCATCTGTCAGACTCAATTATGCTGAGTGTGTCTCTATTACTGGCGAAACATGACTGTCACTGACTGAGGACGAATGCACAAGTACGACGCCCTTGGGGAAGCCAGATGGTTATTGTTGTCCTTTCAACTAACCACTCCAAGGCAGTCAAGTCAGACAGCAAACACGATTATTATGCCACCGTACACATGTAGGCGAGATAGCAGCAATTCATAAACTGATGTATTCTCACTCCCTATCCAGACCATAGGATAAGTTTGTCCATCGCAATTGTAAAATCGTCATGACATTTTTGAGAGACGATATTATTTCATGTAACGCTCAAGTTGAACATCGGCTGTTAGACCAAACAAGTCCTGAAGCCGTCTACCTTTGAAAGCCGCCCCAATAGACTGAATCGTACTACCCTTCTGCGGAGACAAGAGACAGTTGGGAGAGGAATCATTGGTAGTCAACTTATTGCACTCCCAGAACAGCGGAGACTTGCAGCAGTGGATGTCTCGTTAAGCCATTTTTATTCTCTCGAACCAACCTTGTAGTGTCGTGCCAAGAGTGGCACCAGCCAAGTTCAACTATTCTCTGATAGGGACAATTACCCGTTAAACTTTCCGGTCAGCGCCTAGGCCCAAGGCGGTCTAGACCCGTAAAGAGGGGTCCCCATAACACTGAATGGTTCTTCGCTCACCCATGGTCAGTCTCCGTTACCACCATTCATCGTTCTGGAACTGTTACTTACAGTGGAACAAGCTCCCATGTCGCATCCATCGACAGGACTGAGAAAGGCTTCTTCCAAAGTCCGGCAGGCCTGTGACAGGTGCCACTCGCGTAAAATTCGCTGTGATGGACGTCGGCCATGCATAAAGTGTCAAGAGACAGAGGCCGAGTGTACGTTCTACGCGGTACCCAAGAAGACAGGGCCGAAAGGTCCACGGCATACGCGTAAGCTGCATCATCGCCAACAACCTGTACCGTCCTCTTCGTATCAGCGCGATGGTGCATCCCCGGAGAGAGAAGGCTATCGTTTCGAAAATATAGCGCAAGCAAGGACAGACGGATCCCCCCCGAGGGATACAGCACACGATAGTAACGGCTTTCGGCCTGCGGTTCAAGTATCGACTGACATTCTGCAATGGTGCCTCAACGCCTTCTTTAAACACAAGTACCCGATAACACCCATATTATGTCGCCCGCAAATGGAGGAATGCCTTCAGGAGTTTCCCACCTCTCCCGAGAAGTACGGACTGCTGATGGCTTGCTGCGCAGTCATTGCCCTTTCACCAGAGATATTTCCACCATCTGCCCATCATCAAATTAACCTCCCCAAAGCCGACTTCTTTCTCTCGGAAACACTCCGATCTAGGCGATATCACAACTTCGTCGATAACTTGTCGTTAACTCATGCCCAAACATCTTTCTTTCTTTTTGCAGCGTTTTTCTGCATCGATAACGACAACGCGGCGTGGTTTTATCTTCGGGAATCCATCACGATCCTGCAAACATTGCGTCTTCACGAAGAGGCCACTTACAACGACATCAACGACACTGTTTTAGTCACGTATGCGCGGCGCATGTTTTGGGTTCTCTTCATCACTGAAAGGGCATACGCTCTGCAGAGGAATAGACCGTTGACGCTTCAGAGCACGCTGAACCTGCCCAACGCCGACCCGCTCAGCTCGGATGCGGAGATTCTGCCGGGGTTCCTTGACCTCATTTCCCTCTTCCGACCCTTCGATACCGAGTTCATTTCTACGTGGAACTCATCAATCCCATCTGCTTCCCCGACAGCAGCAGAGCCAGGAGAACTGGCGAGGCTACAGAACACACTCAAACACGCTCTTCCCAGCGTGTCCAACTACTCCGAGACGCAACAGGCCGATCTGCTCATATCGCGGCAATGGCTCAAAGTCATCGTATGGAAGCTTTGCGTCTCCAAAACGCTCTTGTCAGGCACGAACAGCGACGACAGCATGTCACTGAGCTACCCCTCCACGATAGCCCGTGACGTCGTGCTCATCACCCGGCGCCTGCCGACCAAAGCTTTGGAAGCCAACGGCATCGGCATCTTGGAGAAGGTGTTTGATATAGGGTGTTCACTGGCTGATTTGTTATCGTTGAGCCCAGCCTCTACCTTTTGGTCAGCCATGGATGTCGGCCCCATCGACATTTTGATGGAAACGGTGAAAATAGTGGGCAGGACGTTTGGAGGAACGTACAGACATTTGGATATACTGGTCGATAAGGCGAACTACAGCCTACTAATGAATGTCGATAGAAGCCTACCTCTGCCTGTGGATGTATCTCTGGAAGAATTGTAGTGGTTCTGCAGAAGGTGGCATTCAATTGAGATGGATGAATGATTACGGCCTCTTTTGATAACTCTGATCGTTCCTTTGTGGAAATCATGCCGTTGTTGAGTGCAAAGCATTCGGCTTGTTGAATTATTACTTCAATTTTATCACTCTCCCTAGACCATCTTTTTTCAACATCCAGAAATGCTAAGAATTGGTGTCCGTTTCACACCAGCAGCTAACACCCAGGGTGTCGTCCGCTATCCCTTATAATTGACATGAGTACACACTATAGGGAGCGGGCGCGATAAATTTGGGCACTGACGCATTTAATGATTCGGCAATGGCAACTAGAGATGAGGTTTTCCAGTGAACTTCTGGTAGTGTCAACCCACCTTTCAGTATCATTCTCGATGTACCTAACGGTATTAACCGTAAGGGGGGGATGCAGGCGACAGAAACTGTTTGTAGTTGCGCTAGTATACGACAACCAATAACAAGATTTACGTTTTTTACTATGCGGTATACCCACTATAGACCCCTGTCATACTGATGCGAAATTATGGTGTACTGTGCTCCTTAGCCTTTTCGCATTCGCTACTCGGACAAATGTTCTGCTGTGTCCAACGTACCAGTGCTCTTACTACACTAGACACTTGGCGTGTATGTCGGGAGCTCATTCTTACACTCATCAGGTTGCTCACACTCATCAAGCCGCGTAGAAAAACTTGGAAAACACTAATCTAGGAGTCCCTAAAATTTTTCTTATTATTATTTTTTGCTTGAAGTTAACTCCTTTCAAGGTCAGGTGTGAAATTGTCAATCATGCGCAATTGACGTCCATTCAAGTCAACCCATATTAAAAACAAAATAAAAATAAGAGTGTTGCGGATCTTTACCACCTTGACCATCCCCCTTAATCCCTCTATACCCATTCTCTCTATCACTTGGCAAAGTAAAACCTCTGAAGGCACCGAGGCTCGGTGTTATAGTAAGCGAATTGTGAGCCCGCGTGAGACATGACTAGAACTTGAGGCCCCCCTTTTGTTTTCTCCCTCTACATAGATAAGAACAAGATGGCTAAGGGCCGTCTAAAATTTTGAGGCATCTATATCCATCATCAAAAGCTCGTCGGTTTGTCATCTACGCAAGCAACCATACACAATGATTTCCAAAATATCACGAATGTCCTCCGGCACCAAGTCCGCAAACTTTTCCAATCCGGTGCTTTGGGAAGACCTGCCAGATCCCGAGGTATTCCGGGTTGGTGAGACTTACTATATGAGTGCTTCCTCGTTTCACTTCTCACCAGGCGCACCCATCCTCAGATCATACAATCTTGTTGATTGGGAATATATCGGCCATTCGATACCGGAACTACCACCTAGCTCTCGATTCTCCCTGGACAACGAAAGACCTGTCGCTTACGGAAAGGGAGTCTGGGCTTCGACTGCGAAATATCGCGAGAGCGATGGGCTGTTCTACTTCTACAGCGCCATACAGGGGACGGACAAAACCTACGTCTACACGGCCAAGGATCCGGCAGAAAGATGGACGGCACATCCCCCGATCGAGAGGTTCTATTACGACCTTGGCTTGCTGATCGACGATGATGACACGCTCTATATGGCCTATGGAACAAAGTCTATTGAGGTAGCACAGCTGTCTGCAGATGGGCTGACGGAAGTCACCAGTAAGGTAAGTTCATAGAGCCACGTCCCCATTATGGCAATAGATACTGACGGTTGTCTGCCTTCCAGGTCGTGTACACGTCGGACGAGTACCTCGAGGGAGCTCGGATGTACAAGATTAACGGCATGTACTATATCTGGGTCACGAAGCCATGGGACGGACAATACGTACTCAAGTCATCTGGCGGGCCGTTTGGGCCGTACGAAGCACGCGAAATACTTGCGGACATGCGTCCCCCAGTGGCGGGAGCTGGCGCTCCACATCAAGGAGGACTGGTCGACACCCCCCAAGGCCAATGGTACTACATGGCCTTTATCGATGCCTTCCCTGCAGGTCGTATTCCCGTCCTGGCTCCGGTTGTCTTTGACTGTGAAGGGTGGCCAAAGGTGATAGGCGACTACCCAGATACGCGAGGTCAGTGGCGAGTAGAGTATCCGCACATAACAACCGATACACAATTAGTAGACCGCCCCGCCACATGCCTCAGGAGACACGACTTCAAGCATTCAAGTCTCGACCATTGCTGGGAGTGGAACCACAACCCTGCCAACTCGGAATGGAGCCTCCAAGACAGCCGCCTGGTACTCAAGACTGCTACCGTGACGCAAAGCCTCCACCAAGCCGCCAACACCCTCACCCACCGTACGATTGGGCCAGGAAGCATCGCCACCTTCTGTGTAGATGCCTCAGAGCTCAAGGACGGAGACAGGGCCGGAGCAACCCTGTTTCGCGATGAGAGTGCCTACATAGGTATCCACAAAGATGGCGATATTGCTAGACTTGTTTTTGTTGACGGCGCCAAGATGGAGCCAAAAGACACAGCCGTCGGATGGTCAAATGGTCGTCCTGTTGCTCTAGACTGGAAGTGGGTTTCAAATGGTTCCATCAAAGGAGAAGCGCCCTTGAAGCACAGCCGTGTATGGTTGCGGATCAAGGCAGACGTGAGACCTGTCTGTTACGATGGGCATGAGAAATTGTCACGTCAGGCTGTATTTGAGTATGGCTACGATGGTACAACGTTTACACAACTGGGTCCCAAGCATACCCTTTCGAAATCCTTAGCGGGCTTCACCGGTCATCGTTTTGGACTGTTCAACTTTGCGACTCGGGCTCTCGGGGGACGGTTGTTGGTAGAGTTCTGTGACATTGAGTTATGGAATCCTGAAGACGAGAAATAACGGCAATGCTCGTGATATTACGGGTGATAAGTTTGATTGAATATGGGATCTGGGGCCAGTTTCACAGCTTCAATCTAGTACCGTTGAAATTTTCAATCATTTAAACGACACCAAATATTTGAAGAATATAGTTTATGTAGACTTATGCTAAATGGTATAACAAGTCGACTTCGTCGTGACAGTGACTTGGTAAGCTTGGCAAATCAAAGATACACAGATCCAACATGAGTATATATAAATCACTTGGTTCAACCAGTCCTCGCACGATCAAACATCGTAGCGATCTGACGGGTCACTAACAGGTCGATACAGAAAATAGTCGAACGCTGCTTCCCGAGCCAAACCGTTCAAATCAGAACACGCCATTCCCACAAAGGCCCCTGTAAAGGCACTAAATCCTCGGTCTATCACACTCTCGTCCGAGAGTATGGTGGCATCGTACGTCGGGCCAATTCCAACTAACTCCCCGTCCCCAACCGCGTAGAAAAAATGCAAAGCACTGCCGCGGACGGTAAGGGCTAGCCTCATCTTGCCTTCGTTCGGTATTGGCACTGGCGCGATCATGGGGCTGTCCAGCCAACCTCTATTGTTCTTCTTCTCCAGAGTCATAAGTATGAGCTCCCTCTGGCCGTCTGAGTGCGCCGTCACCGCAAGGTAGAAGTAATTAGACGCCGAATAGTAGGCTGTTAGTCCGGCGTACTGCCGCTCATCCTCAGGCGAGAAATCAACGACGGTTTCGGCATCGTAAGAAAAATGGGTTTGCCGCCGTGCGACAAGAGCCTGTTCAAACTTTGAGCCGATAGATTCGCGTCCAGTTAGGACAAGTTTGCCTTGGCCTGCATGGTAGATTCGTTCAGGCTCCGGTGTCCGCAGCCACTGAAAGTCTGGGTGAAGTCCGTTTTCAAATGTATATCTTTTTGTGGCCCAATAGAGATCTTCGTCACGATCAGCGGGCAGGTTCACGTACAGACTCGGGCGTGGGCCGTCCTTGACATACAACCAGTCGTCGTCGCCCCAGTACGCTTCCTGAATGCCCGTCTCCCGGCCCAGCACGCAGCGGCGGTCGTGGCCAATGGGCCTGGAAGTCAGATGGACAATGTAGGTTTTTCCGTCGGGCGTGTCAACAATATCTCCATGGCCGCTTTTCTGCAGAGCAGTAAATGCAGAATCTTTCGATGTGAGAATCTGCTCCTGGGGGTGCGTCTCATACGGACCCCATATGTCCCGAGACCGAGCCTGAGTGCACGCATGAAACCAACCCGTGCCTCCTTCTGCGACTAAGAGATAATACCATCCGTTGCGTTTATAGAGATGAGGCCCCTCGATGCAGCCTAACTTTGTCCCTTTGTAAACATTCTTTCGGGGTCCCACCAGCCGTCCAGCCACAGGATCAAATTCCTGGAGACAGATCCCAGCGAATAGATTCGGACGGCTACGATGGTCCCAGACCATGTTGACAAACCACTTACGCCCGTCGTCGTCGTGGAATAGCGAGGGATCGAAACCGGAAGAGTTGGCATAGACCGGGTCTGCCCATGGCCCATCTACGGTGCTGGCGCTAGTGATGTAGTTATGGCAGTCGACGAATGCTCCATTTTGCTCTCTAGTGTCGGTATACACGAGCCAGAACCGGGTTCCATCGTGTGTAAGACATGGGGCCCAAACACCAGCGCTATCACCCACGCCGCGCAAATCAAGCAAAGCCTTGCGGTTCAAAGGCCTCGCCGCCAGGGTCCAGTTGGCGAGGTCTTTGGAGCGGTGAATTTGGACCCCAGGATACCACTCAAATGTAGAGGTGGCAATGTAGTAGTCGTTTCCAACACGCACAATAGAGGGGTCTGGGTTAAACCCAGGAATGATAGGATTCCTAACGAGAGGCATGGCTTGTGATTCCAGAGTCGTTGATTGGGGCAGTTTGATGGATGGTCGTATTTAGATCGGAGGGTTGATGTCTTCTCATTTGATCTTTGAGTTTTTGAAGGGAATTTTACTCCAGATGAATAGAAGGGAGAAAAAACACGGTTCTGGAAAAAAAAAATGAGAAGGTAAACTTGTAAGCTGAGTCCAGGATGTAGTTAGAACCGCAAATTCGGATGCTGCGACTGCCTGCTGATCTATGACAAAGGTGGACTCGGCTGAAGACATAGCGAAACGACCGACATCGATGCCTTTTTCGTTCCTCATGCGAAAAGTACAAAAGCCGGCAGAAAGGAGTTGAACCCTGGTCAAGCCCCAACGCCACCAACCCCTACCCAAGCATTTATCCTGGGGAAAGGTGTGCCTGCTGTGCAAGATCGAACCACAAGCAATCCATGGATCCGAGTTGGCAATCTAGAACCCCAGTCTCCACACTCTCCGCATTACGGCCTTTTACTGTCCTAAAGTTGCTTGCTGAAGCATTCACTTCACCCACACCTGTAGGAATTGGCATAGCACCACTTCAACCAATCCGTACTCGCGTCATTGTTATGTTGGCGCCCAAGAATCTGGCCATCAACAGTCATGGTCATTTCCAGAAAAGGATATAAAGGGCCTATCTCCCTCTGTGGGCTGTTGATTGTACTAGTTGCGCGGTCACCCGCTTCAAGCCTCCGTTACATCTTATCCCCTCCTGTTCATAGACACAAAAAAGTTCGCATTCTGCCGCCACTGGCACTCGGTCTCACCCTGCTTCAAAATTTTGCAAAACTCTACTCAGAGCCGCCGCCAGTCACTCGCCATGGGGGAGCACAACCTGTCGCCTGGCGGCAATGTTGAAGCCAACATTGACGCGTTCCTACCCCAGGATAGCAAGCCGTGGTGGAAAACACCTCATCTACTTCGGCTTAATTTCTTACTCACAGTGCCCATGATGACGGGGTACCTGATTGGGTTTGACAGCAGTATGCTCAACGGGTTGCAATCGGTCCCTGTCTGGAATGAAGGTGTGTCTGCATATGTACTCTTTCATCTCCCCCATCACAAGAGATACTCCTCGTTCTCAATACTGATTCCAAGTCTCTGTTCCAAAACAGATTTTGGCCATCCTCACGGAGTCCGCCTCGGCCTCTTGGGGACCATGCAGGTCATTGGCGCTGTTGCTTCCCTTCCCATCTGTCCACCGATTGCCGACCGATTCGGCCGCCGACCTCCTGTTTTCGCGGGTTCCGCAGTTGCCTTGCTTGGAACCGCTTTGCAGTCTGCTTCCACTAGCTTTGACATGTTCCTCGCCGGCAGATTCTTTGTTGGCTTTGGAACGGGCTTGGTGGGAATTGCTGCCAGTCCGCTGTTAGCCGAGCTAGCCTACCCAAGCCATCGTCCTTTCTTGACATCGTTCGGTTCGACAACTTGGGTTTGTTATACCTCTTACAAGGCTCTCGTATTGAGTAATTTGTGCTTGTATGAACGTTACTAATACACTGTTCTCGTTGCTAGTTTCTGGGAGCCATCGTGGCTGCTTGGGCCACATACGGCACCTTCAAGATTCCTAACAGCTGGAGCTGGCGCATCCCCTCCCTTTTACAAGCTATACCCTCCGTCTACCAAGGCCTCTTGATATACTTCTTGCCGGAATCACCCAGATGGCTAGTGAGCCGTGGAAAGGTGTCCGAAGCCAGGGCTGTACTGAACAAATATCATGCTGGTGAACAAGGCGATTCGGATATTTCCCCATTAGTCCGATATGAAATGGTCGAAATTGAAGCCGCTATCGAACTCGAGAAGCTTCAAAACAAGCGGTCCTATCTTGACTTCTTTGCCACGAGTAAGTTCATTTTTAACCCAATGCACCATCATTTCAAAGACGACAACAACTGCAATGAACAGCAGCGCTAATGGAAACAATGCTAATCTGAACTGTTACAGAGGGTAACAGACATAGACTGATCATTGCCGTCACCCTCGGTCTTTCGGCCCAATGGGCTGGAAATGCTCTCGTTTCCTTCTACCTGGTCGTGGTATTAAGGAGCATGGGCATCACTGATCCTGAGCAACAAAATCTCATCAATGGCGGCTTGACCATTTTCTGCTATGGCATCAACATCATTGGCTCTGCCATGGTCGTCCGTGTTGGACGCAGGACGCTCCTACTAAGCGGTTTCGCCGGCATGGCGGCAACCTACACCGTCTGGACCATTCTCTCATCTTTGAATCAACAGACTGGCTTCACTAACGGTAGCCTGGGCACGGGTGTTGTGGCTATGATTTTTGTATTTCAATTCTTCTACAACATGAGTATCGGCCCCGTCCTCCCGACTTACATCATGGAGATCATGCCCTTCACGCTACGTGCCAAAGGCTACATGATTGAGCAGATATTTACCTACGGCGGAGGTCTCTTCAACGGGTTCGTTACCCCCATTGCCATGGAGGCCATCTCCTGGAGATACTACATCGTCTGGATCGTCATGCTGGTGGTGTGGTTCTGTCTGGTTTTTATCTTCTTTCCAGAGACAAAGGGACGCACGCTCGAAGAGGTCGCCCAGCTGTTTGATGGAGTTGATGTCAGCGGAAATGCTGTTGCTCATGTCAGGGAGAAGGAGAATCACATAAACGAAGTTGAGGCCGTTTAATCAGCTGCCTTTCTTCCTGTCTGTGCCAAATGCGAAAACCACGCGCAAATATATTTCAGATAGCCACGCCAACTTTAGCACGGAAACTGCCAATAGGATGGAAAGAAGTTGCCATACCGTGGTATAAATGTCCCAAGAAGCCATGCTTCTATTTTGATTCATTAAGCTGATTTCCATCTTGTTTCTTTTCCCCTTTATCCTACCGAGAAAGCTAGCAGGAGGCGAGAGTCCTCGGAAAGGAGCACAGTGTTTAATGGCTTTTGACACAGTCTCTGATAATTACTCCGGGAATGAACAAATGACCAGGGTCTGCGTCAGCTTGTCTATGTTTGGTTGGCTTCAGGCAACCCAGCTCTGTCGCAGAGTCATCTTACGGGATTTTTTCGCAGTATTTCGATAATTCGTACGCTTAACACACTTTCTGCAACGCCAGATACGCCTCCTCTTAGCTTTCCAGCACGCATGCGCCTTATTCGGCTGACCTATCCTAGTCCTCGGTTGAGGCTTACCAAGCCTCTTCAAACAGCCTCCAATGAGAGAAGGCCAGGAAGCCAGAGTTAACTGGCCAATTTGGCCAACGCTGGGGAGCGAACAGATGCGCCTCCTGGATCTGCAACCTGCAGTTGATATCTCTGATTCTCTTTGTTGCACTTTGCGCATGGCTAGTCTTACTCAGTCTCCATTTTATGAGGCTGTTTCCTATGTTTGGGGACACGACAGCCATAGAAAGACAATAAAGGTAGACGGAACTGAGACTGTCATCACCAACAATCTCTTCGATGTTCTTCACAGTCTACGGCGCAAAGATTCAGTTCGCACTCTTTGGATCGACGCATTATGCATAAACCAAGCAGACCCCGAAGAGCGCTACAACCAGGTCAAGATCATGGGGCGTATCTATCAGCAAGCATTCAATGTTGCGATCTTTCTCGGAAGCCATTGGGATGGCTTGGACATTGCTCGTGATTACCTAGAACTTGCCGCTGAGCGAGAAGAGGCTCACTTCGACCCCCTACTCAAGCCGCACTTGGAGGTCAGTAACGTGCCAATGACTGTTCTGCACAAGAGATGTTGAAGATGATTTGATTTCATGATGCAAGTGAAACTGACGCAGATTAGGTTCGCGGTTACAATATTTCAATGCCGCATTTGAGAAACAACCTTTCCAGGTTTTTTTCCTCGGATTGGTTCTTTCGAGTTTGGACAGTGCAAGAGTTTGTTCTCGCAAGACAGACTTCTTTCTTGTATGGGACAACTGTCATTGATGGGGGGCGCTTTATGAAGGGTTTTGCCTCGATTCGGCGACATATCTCCAGTAGATGCTGTGGACCGCGATCCCTTCTCGAATGTGGTGAAAGGTTTTTCGATGTTATGATTCATATAGAGTCGCTCATCAACATGAGGGCATCTCTGGCATCCACAGATCTTTTGCAGGTTCTACACGATTGCCGTCGGCGGAAATGCACAAACCCCTTGGATAGAATCTATGGGATGCTCGGCATGGATTTTAAAGGCCAATCAAGCGGAATTCTTCCGGACTATAGCATCACGACTGAGGAGCTCTTCGTTGGACTTACCAAGGAGCAGATGGATCGAACAAAAACGCTGGATATCCTCACTTATGTTGACATGGGGAGACAGACTGTCTTGAATCTTCCATCATTTGTGCCTGACTGGACTATGGAGTCGACGAATCGCCTCACACATATGCTTTCTGTAGATCAGCAACTGGCAACAACACATTATAAAGCTTCAGGAGAGATTCCAGCCAAGTTTGAGTTTCGATTTAAGGACAATGGGCACTTAATGTTGACGAAGGGCGTTATAATTGGCTATATAGAAAGCGTAGGCACCCCAGGCACTTTTTCCGACCTGGAAAGCTTTTCTCAGGCAAAAGACATTGTGTCAGAGGCTCGGGAGTTGGCGAGACTGCCCAGTCAGCCACCTATATCATGGCAGGCAGCCACACCTCAAGAGCTCGCTTTCTGGAGAACCCTCTGTGGAAATCTAACCATCAACTACCTAGAAGGAGACCGCGAGTGGACAGTTTCGGATCCAGAACTTGATTACGAATCATATCTGCGATGGAATCGTGCGATGAATAAGCTGCAAGAGGGTCAGCCCGCTGTCGTAGGAGATGAACCATTTCAAGATGCCCTAATTCCCAACCTCTCCGGCCGAAGGTTTACTAGAACCGAGACTGGACTCATTGGCATGGTCGCTGCGGATTCCCTTCCCGGCGACGTCATTGTGGTGCTACCTGGTGGTAGAATTCCGTACGTGCTCCGCGAGAAGCACGGGACCAGCGCCTTAGAAAACGCTAAAACTTATCGTTTCATCGGTAACGCATACATAGACGGGTTTATGTATGGAGAGGCTGCTGAACATGACGCGGAGTGGGCATCGTTATTTATAGTCTAAATTATGTGAAACTGTTGTGTTTTCCCTCATAGAAAGTGATACCAGCCTCACCAGAGGAAACTGGATGATTCACATGGAATACGATTAGAATAATCAAGCAAAACATGGTTGGGATCGCCCTTGCAGTCATGAAAAGCATACTTCTTCTGGAAAGCAGGGAATCTGCGTGACTTACCTCGGTTGTTTGGCTTGGTTGTATGCCACCATCGGACATTCCGGTCCAGGTCGAACCTTCAAAGGCTGGGATTAAGATGAGCTGATTTATCTGCAAGACGCTGATTTGGAACTGCATGGGTTTAGCCGCCTCGAACTGCGATATGTTACTTGATTTGTGAACCAAGAAACCAGATCCACTTGACCATTCCCTTTGTATGAATTGTCCAGAGGCGCAGTCAGAAAAAAACGACACACGCGAACCCACCAACATACTAGGTGCATGGGAGCAGATGCATGAACCACCAACAGCATATGCAAGTTTACGGCTGACAATGGACAAAATTAGGCCTTATCTCACAAAGCGCTTTTTTCTTGCGTTTTATGTTTCCTACCCGCCCATTCTGCAATCGAATGGAACATCCCATCTTTATCTTTCTCAAACAAGCTCTCTGTCCCCAGTCGGTGATAATATTTGGTGTTTCACATATTGACTTCAGCATCACTTGAGCATACTCCTCCCACGAGTATCTTCATTGAAAACTGACATCATTATCATAACCAAGTCAAAAATGCACAGCATGTCTTCTGGGTCACATGACTCGCCCACGTTCCAAGAGACAATTGCTATGTTGCAGGGCATTGGTCCGTCCTCAATTCCTGAAGAATGGGAGTTCGGACTCTGCCAAGGTAGAAACAAAGATGAAAAAGCGTCACGATGCCGACTATCTGGCCAAGATCCAGAAAGAACTAAACAACTTTGCAACATCCTCATCCTCATGAAACAAAACATTGCAACACAAGAATTCTTTGATCAGCTTCATGTTTTTGTTACCATTTCCCATTGTGGAGATCATGTAGACATCTCCAGAAAGATTGTCGAGGAGTGGAGGGAGAAGTGCATTACAGACGGCGGCAAATTTACCAATGAATGTTGCAATGTAACCGACCACGATTCCGGCAACGACCGCACGTCTATAAGGGGCAACAGCACCACAGAAAACGGTCTCTGTGAACCCACCAACCCGATGCAGCTTGAAAGAATGAACGAAGTCAAACACGACGGCAACTCCCACGTCGAGACCATCGTAGATGGCATCTCCACTATGGATCTAACTTCAACAAACCAAACCAACCACACCAGTCAGATAAGTGAAGTTAGGAACAACAGTCCGGAGTATATCTTCAGGCTTGGCCTAGCAAGCTTGAAGCGTTCAAATTCTCTACGGAATGACTCACCTATTTTCACGGAAATCTACAAACCACTTACTCAAACCCAAAAAAAGGATGGAATCCTTTACGTTGTTGAGTTAGATGCAGAGAAAGGGTGGTACAAAATTGGTTGGACGACTAAAACCATCGACGGACTCAGCCACAAGTGCAGCCTCGAGTCGAACGCGAAGGTCGTCTACAAAAGCCCTGGTGGTCCTTTTTTTGCGGCAGATAAAGCGAAGAAACTTGCACTCGCTGCTCTCCACGATAACAAGATCCATATTTCGCCGTGCGATGACTGTGGAAGCAGGCACAGAGAGTGGATTGGCGCCACAAGAGAGAGGGTGATAGAGACGGTGAAAAGTATGGAAACCTTCGTTCAGCTTCCCGCATACAAGCCAATGGATGGCGACAACTGGAAGCTTTCCGAGACTGCTGCTGAGCTAGTGGGAAGAATGTGTCGCTTTTCCCTTTCGGAGTTGGAAAGTGCAACAACTATAACAGAAACGCCCCCACTCGATGACACGGCTACCAGCTTCATGACACCGCAGAAGCAAGGAACAACTATTATTGTTGATGGGATTGATACTCCACAAAGTTCACAAGACTCCTTTGAGGTCGCATATGACAAGAGCCCACCATCTCCGACTGAAGTGAAAACCGGCAAAAGCAAACGCACGTCTATGGGTTCCATTATAAAAAGGGGGATTATAAAGACTAGCAACGTATATAACTATTTCAGACACTCGCAGGAAGAAACCGCGGAGACTGATAGAAGCGATAAGACAAAAGACTGGGGGTCAGGAGACAGACGTGGGAGTGAAACCAAAGAAGAGAAGGCTATTCTGGATATCTTCTGGAGCATGTTTCCCGAGAAAATTACAACTGAAAAGGGGGATGTGCACAACAAGGGATCTCGCCCAAGCAGCTGGTTCAAGCGACACTTTTGGAAATTCTGGAGAACAAGCCCCAACTCAACGACATGAAGCGGAGGAGTGGTAAAATTTATGATAGAAATTTCACCTTCAAACACTTCCAATCTTGAAAAAAGTCATTTGCAAGGAAATTACGAAAAGATTCCTGAAAAATGAAAATTCTTGTTTAGTGACGGCTCCGGACCTCGGGGCCCATTTCACCGCACCCCGGTTATGTAGTTACGTGGAGGGCTCGCTCCGACGACCGAGTTCTTCATCCGATCCTCGCTCCACTCGCTCACATAGAGGATACTAGCCATTTTGTTCTTAGTTAAAGCCGCACACAATAGCCCGGGACGCCAGTTATAAGCCTAGCTCATCTTGCAACCCGATTCTGCTGCTTACCAAGCGAAGGTGCGCGGCGGAACATCTTCAACCCTACGGTCTTGACCGCTTCGTTTCTCCGACCGCTTTTGCACCCGAAGATGTTCTCCTCTTCGTACATAACAACATCGCTTGGTAAGGCTCCAGAACTAAACTGCCGCCGAGATTTCCCCATCTGGTATATTACTCTGCACGTCGAAGCGAAAGGACGCGACATCTGGCAATTTGTTGACCCTGACGATTTTACATCGCCCTCTGGCCCGGGAGAGATCGAGGATGTTATTTACATTGACTCGTGGATTGGCCAACAGATTAAAAAACAGCACAAAATTTACGAAGCGAAGCGAGCAGCGTATGATGAAATACTCCAGGCGAGGGACTTTGATTCCCTTGGCCAAGACGATGACAACTTGCCACAGAAACCCGTGAATCCTTTGACCCTGGCAATAAATACAAATGGAATCTTTCAGAAGTATATAGGATACCTCTCTGGTGCAGCAAGACGTGACTTGAAGAGGACCAGACAAGAAGAATCTTATGAGGCTCTTCGGCGATGGGTAGAGGAGACAGTCGCACAAGGCAGGATGTATATGTAACTCCTGAAGAGCGGAGATTGTTCCCTTCGCGCCTTAATCAGGGTTCTCAAAAGACGCTATGCCCCGGGCAAGTCAGGCAATATCACGAGAATCTGCCAGGAGTATATGTCTACAAGAAGCGAACTTCGCAGAGCCACCAAACTTAACTTGCCGGAAATCTAAGACACACTCGTCTCAAAGGCAAAGCGACAAGCGATGCGTGCCCCTGCGGGGAAACCCACAGATGGGCCCCACTGCGTCAATCGGCGTGTAAGGGGAAGACCTAGGAAGCTCTATATAACTTCACAAGACCCTGTATCTGTACGAGTTAAGCGATTGTATGCTCGTTTACTGACGAATTTCTATCACGCGATACATTCGGTCAGCTCGCTTGCTTGAAGGCTGCAAGCCGTGGTGTTATTAATTTGAGCCGCCCACCCCGTAGTCTGCGACGACATCTTGCAAACTTGGGGAAAATGCACCTGTGGACTAGACCAACTCAAGAAAGTCTTTAAAATTTCAAACAAATGATGCTAGTTTGTATCAGTGTCTTTCATGTTACTGAGTAATGGATGGCGTGACATGATGCAGTGGGAAATCGGCAACCCTGGCTCGCATCCGTCTTTTCCAGCACTAGGCAAACTACTGGTGATTGATCCAGGCTTGCACCATAATGCCTCGCAACCACCATAAAGCCCATGGCAAGCGAATATCGTCAATATGTCTTTTAGCGCATGTGGGTAAGTGAAGAAGATGGTGTCTAATGGAGCTTTCTAACACAGCCCTTGTCAAAATTTTACAAGAACCCGGCGACTACATCTAAAGCTTGATTATTCACTACCCAAAACATGGGTATAATTATCGTAATGAGCTCACGCATAGATGCTTACGTAGCTCATAGCGTAGCTGCTAGCATTGGCCCCTTGGGTGGATGTCTAGACACTCTAATCTGCGGTGGCTTTGGAAGGCTGGCACTGAATCGAATGGTTTATCCAAGTCTCTGGTGGTAGGAAAAACTATATATGGGGAACTAAGACGGCTAGTTAAGTTCAACCCGCAAACCTAGTTAGAAAAATAAACTCAACGATGGATAAAAAAACGTGTGGGGAATTGATATGCGTGGCTATGTTACTATCTCTGACAGGCCTGTAGGAACGGATCGACCTAGGTACATCATGCTCCATGACGCCGGGGCTGGATGGGGGTACATTCTGCCTCTGTACCAAGGTAGTTCAACACCAATGGTTAGTGTGCTAGCATAGCAAGAAGACTGATATTCAGCAACATATGACCCTTGAGCTCTGGGGCCGTGGCTAAAAGATAAGGAAAGTGCCATGCCCATAGTCTCCTTGATTTCACACTCCGACAACGGCTGGTTGGTTCTTCACCTTCCGATATTTATCCGGTGAAATGTCACACATGGCGCTATAGAATCCAAGCGAAACGAAAGAGGTCAGGGAGCTGGCTTGTTGTTCCAATTCGAGTCTAGCTGTCATGATGGGGATGCCGGAGTACCATGGGCAGGAAGAGAGCCACACGCTTATCCAGGAGCCAATGAGAGACAAGCTGACTGCTCTTGGGATGAAAATGAGGTGACAGAAATTTCAATATCATCATATTTGGTTGATCTGTGCCCCAAGCTTCGTCACAATTCATTCGAAAAATCTGGAGAATCTGGCTACCGGTTCCATTTCTTTAATGCCGTTCATCTGGCCTCCCCTGTCCGTCTCTTTTTGCTACCTGGGGGCGGAGGGGAGTTGTAAACCTGTAGGAGCGCGCTCCGACAGCCTCCTATTGGTCGGAGCCAGCTCCCCAGCCAATAGGAGCGTTGCTCCGACAGCCCCACGTGCTGATTCCCCAGGGGGGTCCCACTGTTGGGGATCGAGATTCCCTGACCACCATGACTTGAAGGCATTCTCCCCCAAAAATCCGGACCATGCACTGCACATCGGTTCCCTACACCCGTCATCCAAAAACGCGAGACTTTACGCGGGAAACAAATTCAGTTCTTATGTCGCTCCCTCCGAAACGTCGCCGTGTGATCCTACCTGCTCCAGGGGCCGCTCCGGCTCCGAGCCCTCCACCGCCTGCACCCCATCTCTTGGAACACGGAACAAACGGATCTCCAAGTGAGAGGGCTGGGAAGGGTGAGGACAGCAGCGAGAGCAGGAGCCAAAGCACCGACTCTGCTGGCGAGGCCAAGTCACGCTCATCAACAAAACGGCAGGTCATTGCCGTCGCCTGTGACAACTGTCGTCGTAGGAAGGCCAAGGTAAGAGAGGAGCCACTGAGCCAGCCATCCCCTTTGAGTTGCCAGAAATGTACCCGTTATCCACAATTCAGGCTCGTTTTGACCCCCATCCTAGTGTGACGGCAACAGGCCGAAGTGCCAACACTGTGCCAAAAGAGGCGTCGAGTGCCACTATGAAGCAAACCAGGGTGAGACTGTGAGCCTCGCACTCAAGCGTAAAGCCAGCGTGCTAGAGAACGAGAACGCCCAGTACCGGGACCTCTTTCGCATGGTCTGCAGCAAGACCGAAGACGAAGCACAAGAGATCTTCCGTCGTATCCGAGTATCAGGTGACCCCCTCAGGGTCCTCGAGTCTATTAGACAGGCCGAGATTTTGTTACCCTCCCCGGAATCGAACGAGCGGGTCAACGACTCAAGGTTAGCCAAGCTCAATGAAAAGGCAATGGAAAGTAGTCTGATCCGCGTTCCCGCGAAACCTTGGACAGCCATCGCAGACGACGGGCTTGTATCTGAGCTCATTACCGATTTCTTTACTTGGGAGAACGCAAGCACTTTCCCAGCTATCGACCGCGACCTTTTCCTCCAGGATATGAGAGCTGGCAGCGTCAAACGGGCCAAGTGGTGCTCTCCTATCCTTGTCAATGCCATTTGTGCCCTGAGGAGTGTGAGTTTCCTCGTCCTCCTCAACTTTTTTTTCCACTAATACTAAACTGATGACGCTGTCTTAGCCATTCGTCAGTCGTGCCAAGCAATTTGGTTCCATCACCGGCCAAGACCTGTCAAAGAGGTTCAGAGACGAGGTGATGCAACTAGTCGAGAAAAGTCAAGGCCGCGCATCGATTCCCACTGTCGTCGCACTCGTAATCATGGATTTGTCGGCCAGTATCGCCGGCGATGAGTCCCGTGCAAAGATGTACCGCTACATGGCGTGGGAACGGTATAAGCGCTTGAAGTCCGAAAAGAAGTTTTATCTGCTGAAAGACACTAACCCTCAAGATGCAAAAGAAAAGCTAGCCATCTCAACAGCAGTATGGGCGATTTTCCTTATTGAAAGGTAAGCAGAGCCATTACAAAATCTTCAACCTTTTGCTCACATTGAGTCTTAGTCGCATTTCATATTTCTACTTCCAGACTTCCAATATTCCTCCACCATCCATACCGATGTTGTTTGACAACCAAGGGCAGGATGCAGTTGGCATTAAAGACAACTTAGATGTCCTCGGACGTCCCTTTCATGAGTCAGCAGCTGGGATCCCAATTGTCCCAGGGATAGCAACAGTCAGTTGCAATCTCGCATGTTTACAATACGAAATTATGCAATACCTCACTTCAGGGACTACTATCAGAGGTAGTACAGAAGACTGCAAGCAAAGGAAAACTTTGTATTGCAAGCTCCAACAGTTCAGGGCGGATCTTCCCAAAAGGTTCCGACTAGAACACAATTTTGTTCCTTCGACTTGTTTTTTGAGGTGAGTCTGCTGAATAGCTTCTCATACAAAGGCTCATCTTGCAATGACTGGGCAAAGACTAACTATCGCACAAGAATGCACGAGAACGAAATCGCATACGTCCTTCTTCAATCTCTGCATCCATCGACGATATTCGCCACCCCTTTCACCGATACCACTACAACAGTAAAATCCCTTATACTCCAACACTGCATGTCAGACACATCCCTCGCCGAGTCTTACTTGCAGAGGTACACCGTCAGCTCCTATCTCACTCGTCAGCTTTTCGTAACTTTGCAACATCTCATACCTTTTTTGAATGACGGACACGCCGCCACACACCATCTCTTCACTCATCTTTGCATGATGAGTGGCATCTCCGCCCGTGTTGTCAAGATGTCAGTCTACCTGATACAGGCGGTACAGGCCATGGCATGGGCAATGAAGCAAGATATCCCCGAAGAGGCGAAGCCGTACCTCGAACCCTGGGTGAAATTGGCTATTGAAGAGAACGAGACGAAACCGCCTAGTTATGCGGTACCGGATAGGGAAGAGATCAAAACCCTGCTGGCAGAAGACGATGAGGGTGTTGTTGGGCCGAGCGAAAACAGCGGGGCGGAGCTTTGGGCTCTGGTTGAGAAGTGGGCCGTGAGCGGCGGCAGCGACCCGTACCGAAACTTGTTATGAACACTTACATATGGGCATTTTGGCGTGTATGATGACCGACTCATGGAAAATGGGAAGGTAACCGGTGTTTTCTGTATCAAGCATTAACTTGTCCTGTATAAATTTGGCAACTGGGGCGGTTGTAAGTAAAGGATGCCTGTAGACAGGCAACGATTGATGAGCAACATGACGGCTTTTGAGACAGCTTCAGTCAGCTGGACTTGGTTGGAGTAAATGGAATAAACATATATTCAGGGTTAACAGCCTAATCATTGCTTGCCAAGGTAGTTTATAACAACTCATGACTGATTTATCTGTACGCTGATTGCGTGCCCGTTTGATGAGATGACGTCACATGATTAGATGGAGACTCGGAGAGCTAGATAAGAGTTGAGTTGAAGTCCGATGCACAACATCATATCCGATTCTCAAAAACTTTTGACATCTCAGTAACTATTTCTTGTTGTGTCATAAAGAGCCCAATCATGAGTGAACACACTGAAACATCCTACCTCATCATCGGCGCCGGTGTTTTTGGCGCCTCAACCGCGCTCCACTTGATAAGAGCCGAACCCCGCGCCAAGGTGACACTCGTTGACCGCAACGCTTTCGACGCGCCCATCCGCGTTGCCGCCTCCTGGGATTGGAACAAGGTTGTACGTGCCGACTATGCAGATATCGACTACATGCGGCTTGCCCTTGAGGCCAAGGAACTCTGGGCGTCCGACCCGCTGTTCAAGCCGTACTACCACGAGAGTGGTGTGTACTGGGTATCCGCGACGAACTTCTCCCAAGTGGTACAAGACAACTACAAAAAGCTCGGAGTTGACTCGGGTTTGTTTTCGCTACCTGTTGAGGAGGCGAGGGCCAAGTATGACGGTATTTTTGAGCACGGCGACTATACTGATGTGAAGGAGGTGTTTATCAATAAGAATAGCGGATGGGGTGAGGCCAAGGAGGCTCTAAGAGAGACGATCGAGGAGGCTGTCAAACTTGGAGTAAATTATGTTCAGGCTGAAGTTGTGAAGCTCGAGTTCGACGGTGATGGCGCCACGACAGGAGTTACCACATCCGAAGGGAAGACCATCCGCGCGTCTCGTGTCGTTCTATCGACCGGTGCGTACACGGCGAAGCTGCTTGCGGACAGCGCGCCAGATCGCCCTGAACTCCACGCGGGTGAGAGGTTTGTCGCTGCAGCGGTGACTGAAGGTTTCACGCCTGTTTCTGGAGAAACTGCGGCAGAGTTGTATGACGGTCCGGTGGGCATTTCAACCGTCCCTCCCGAACGAGGTATGTCTTCTACTTCTTTCTAGCTCTCCGAACCAGCTAACTCGAGTTTGAACAAAGGGGCAAGCAATGGAAGTGTCCCGCACTCTGGAGACAAGACGCTCAAATTCTGGGGACAGATTATATTCAAAAACACGGAACCACACCCAACTGGTGGCGGAATTTCACAGCCTCCTTCGGGACCGGACTACGCCCAGCTGGATGTCCCGGCTTCTCTAAAGGAAGACGTCGATTTCGCAGGAAAAATCATCTACGGAAAGCTGAGCGACGACTTCAGGGTGGAAAACTACCGTATCTGCTGGTACGTCGTTGTAGTTTGCTTAGAACTCGAGACGAGCATGGGGCTAACTCGCAAAAAAACAGGGAGGCCGTATCACCCAGCGAAGACTTCATCATCTCGCCGCATGCGGGGAGCAAGAATCTTTACATTGCAACCATTGGATCGTTCCACGGCTGGAAGTTCCTGCCTGTGCTTGGAAAGTACGTCGTACAGCTGCTTCATGGATCTCTGGACGATTACCTGGCGAAAAAGTGGGCTTGGGACAAGCCGCTATCTCCTCCAACCCATCGCACGTGGCCTAGGAAGGAGCTCAGAGACCTGAAATGATAGGTTTTAGAGTCTGTTCTGGAAGTGCTGCTTGGTTGGTTGATAGGTTCTGGGCTCGGGGCATGCCGCATCTATGTAACTAAAGTCGTCACTCAAGAGAGCTGATTACACTCATGAGAACCAGTTGGTGTAAATATTCGAAGACAACACTTGTCCGACTTTGACGTCGTCGATAACTCTTGTATTTCGGCTTTCAGTTCAAAGTTCCATCCTGTTGTGCTTGACCAAAAAGTTTGAACAGTTGGGGATTTTGAAAAAAAAAAAAAAAAAAAAAAAAAGAAAAAGAAAAGCACAAAAAATACACCTATAAAGTACTGTGCTGGAAGATATTCCCGAGGAAACAAAACATTCAGGCTGTGCGGCATCAGAGAGAAGCTATGGACACTCGCTCATAAAGTAGTTACAGCTTCATTTTGATAACGTCACTTTTCTTAGAAGCGCTCCGCTTGAGGTGACACCCTCAAGTTACCACGTCCAACTAGATTGACCAGTGGCTCAAAACATAGCACTCAATACGTCTTATGTTTAGGAAGCCATTTGGCAGCTGTGTTGACGAGCATCTTTTATAACAGTTATTGTCAACTCAAACAAGAGATGCTGTCAGTAGCGCCGTTGTGTATGATTTATCCCAACTGTGATCAACTTGATTGACAGCCACTCATATTTGACGCCAGAAAAATTAATCTCTACGTCCTCTATCAGCTAACATGCACCAACCGAGTCATGGGAGTTCATGGTTTGATTTGTAGAGAAATTGCCAGGAGGAGCCTGGTTTAACTGGCCATCAAGATTCGGTGCAGCGCAGTCGCAGTGGGCCGTTCATTTTATGACGTAGCAGAACAGAAAAAAAATATGCATACATTGCGGACCATGAATAACGAGAGCCATTCATTTACCTGCCAGATTGCTTACATTCTGCTTTTGATAAATTTTTTTGCAACGTGTTTGCAGAATGCCGATGGCTGTTTTGGTCTTGGATTATGAAAGACCTCGGGCTAGTGTGACCAAAGTGTTTGGCCCGAGCTCAGCGTCTGCTTCAATTGCTCAATGACCCGACGTAGCTTCGCTTTTTCGGCCTAGTGTTTCTTGAAATAACTTTCCGTGTAAGGTTAAATCGAAGCACAATACTGTAAAATCCGAATGAAATTTCCAACGTATTACATATTCAGCAGCTGCTGTGGTTGTTGATTAGCAACTGCAATTGCAAGCAGGTCTGTGTACTAGGAGCCACTGCAGCTTATTTGTGGCTACAAGTGTGACAGTCAACCTGCAAACAAAAGGTTGACATCATCAAATTGAGGATAGTCTGGGCCTTCATTGAGACGTAACACTTCGTATGACCCAAACAAAGGCATTGAAACCTTCAATGTTGATGCCACTGAACTTCTTCGCATGCCGTCCGGCTTGTTCGGCGAACCCGATAATCCAGGTAGAGCCCTGCGAATATTTTCCCAACTGCCCTACTGAGTGGTATCTGCATAGGCGAGTACGCGCAAAATAGCTGATCGGCGGAGCTTGACCCGGCAGTGGGTCGGAAGCTGATGTTAAGACGATACTTTGGGCCACGGTAGACATCCATGAGTAATGAGCATCAAATAATGTATCTGCATATCGCATGTCAGGGGTCTTTGATCACTATGATCGCTGTACAAGGTAAGCTTCGGAGTAACGCTAGCACCCGCCTGTATCCAGCTGAAACAGAAGCTTGGCGATGGGGTTCTTTGCCAGATAGCCTCGTAAGCACCGTTTTACTCCCTCTCCTTTCTCGCTATCCCCCATTTTCCACCTCACTCACCCTTCCTCTTGCGCGCAGAAACAATATAGAGTCTCTTCGTGGCAGACAATCCAATGACTCGTGCTATAACTTGTTAGACAAGAGGTAGCAAAAAAAAAAAGGGAGAAAACTCTATTTCTAAATGACACGTTTGTCAGACGAAGTGGAGGCCGAGCGGCTCGTAGCCGCCGAGGATTCGGACCTAGAAGACCTGCCGGCAGACGCCGCCCCGGCCCCCGGGGCATTTCAGGCCTTTCGACAACCGCGACCAAAATGGAGCAGATCATCTCAGAGGTTTAATGGGTGGCCCGGCGGCAGCACCATCTGGGCTTTTGGAGTGCGCGTCAATGCCGTGCTGCTCCGGTTCCAAGCCCGTTCTCCGCGAGCCGTCATTCTCACCCTAGCAGCCCTCAAGTTTTCCATCACAATATGCGGCATGTTGCTCATGATTCCGCTGTTGCGGCTGATTGAGGACGACATCTGTCACAAGCATTATAAGCTGAGCCCTTCGGAAGAAATTCCCGAGATGAAGTGCAAGGTGGACGAGGTGCAGAAAGACATGGCCTGGCTTTTTGGATGGCAGGCTTTACTAGGCGCTGTCATCAATTTGGTTGTTGCGTTCCCTTATGGTATTCTCTCAGACAGGTAAGTACCCATCTGAGACCAGCCAAGTTGAGGTGGGATATACTAACACACCCACGCACAGAATCGGCCGCAAGGCAGTTTTACTGTTGGCCTATGCCGGCACCGTCATCTCCTTCACCTGGACACCGTTCTTTTTGGCCAACTTCCCGGAGGCGAACATCTACTTCCTACTTTTCGGCATGGTCTTCAGCGTCATCGGCGGCGGCATTGTTGTCGTGTTCAATAACGTCTATGCTATGGCTGCTGACGTTAGCACCGAAAAGGACCGCGCCTCCAATTTCGTGTACCTCTCCGTCGGTGCCGTCTCGGGCGGTCTCATCGGCCCCGTCGTGGCGGGCGCTCTGATGGAGAACTTCGGTCCCTGGGTACCAATCCGCATCGTCTTGTTACTGACACCTATGGTTTTCCTCTCGATTGTGCTTCTACCCGAGACGCTTCGCATGAAAGTGGATGATTCCGCGAAGCCTCAGGTTCCATTGCTAGACGCCGTGAAAGATGCTTTCCGCAATGGCCTGCACGAACTAAAGGAGTCTATCGGCATCCTCCACAACCGTAACATTATACTATGCTTGATTCCCTCGCTTCTTCACAGCGCACTCATGGGATCACACTCAAGCACACTCTCGCAATACGTGAGCAAATACTTTGGCTGGACCCTAGCACAGACATCATTCCTTCTCGCACCCCTAGGAATTCTTCATCTCGGCATCCTTTTGGTCCTTCCCTGGATCTCCAAAAGCCTCATCGATCCCCACGGTCGCTTCCGCCGTACAACTTTTGGCAAAGATTCTATCCTAGCGAAAGCATCATACCTCATGATGGCATTAGGAGGGTTCATTGAAGGCATCAGCTGGAATGTAGTCATCTTCCTCATGGGCCTTGCGGTGACCACACTAGGCTCGGCCAGCGGACCCCTTGTGCGTGCCATGATCACCGAGTTTGTCGATGCAGAGCATACTTCCCGGCTTTACGCGCTGACGAGCATGGTCGAGACACTGGGCTCGCCTCTCGGTGGTCCAGCGCTCGCGTGGGCATTCACGCTGGGACTAGAGAAGAAGGGAGCCTGGAGGGGTTTGCCATGGCTCTATGTTGGAGTAATGGGTACGTTGACGTGGGCGGCGTTGCTGTTTGTGAGAGAACCAAGAGCAAAGGGTCCCATCCACCTGGAAAGCCATAATCGTGATATAGAAGGGATGGACTATGAATCTGGGCCGGAAGATGAGCCGTGATTCGATGCTATCGAAGTTCTATTTATTGTATGAGTAAACATAGAGGTATCTATAGACGGGGTATTCGGGAAAAAAAGCAGGACAGGTTCAACAAGATGTTGGTAGAAACAAGAATTATACCATTCGCAACCGATTAAGATGTGAGCTGTCGCATAATGGACTTGGCGTTGCTTGTCAACGGATAATGTCATTGCATGTCCGCTACCACCTGCCATATCCATTGTCATTTGTGGGGGAAAGTGAGGCCGACTTATGTGACTGGCGCATATAGCATGATCTAACCAACGAGGTTCACCCTGGTGAAGACATCGACAGTGGATACCAAAAAACCTCACCAGCATCACCATCGCCAGCTGTCATTCGCCACGTGGCGAGCACTTTCTGAATATTGGCCTGCCAACGAGGCTGACCTGAAGCGGCCCTAGCACCTTATCTGATTCTTTAATATTCTGCACGGTAAATAGGGCGGCAGCTGTGGCTCTTGTCAAGATGACTTCTCTCAACGCGCATGAAGTCGGCATTTGAGCTTGTGCTCTTTGACGTTCTCTCCGCCACTTTAGCGTGAGCAAAGCGAAATGCCTCCCTTGATTAATGACACCACCATAATATTTTACCTGCAGCCTCAGCAGCTTTAGTCATAATCGTGATGTCGCCCAAAGTCCCCTTGCAGCTAACAACCCTTTTCCTCGATGCCCTCACTCGGGAGTCCTCCAGGGTGCCCTGCGTCATCATCAGTAACGAAGATCCCTGCTTCTTGGCGGTCTCCCTAGCTTCAGGTCTTTTCATCATAGCTTGAGACTAGATTCTCTCAACAAGCCCAACCGGGCGAATCCTACAGCCTTGGCGACTCGAAGTAGGCTGCTGAAAATCTCCGCGGACAACAAATATCATTCGCTACCCGACTAACAATCATTTAGCTGCCTAAATACAAATGGGAAAAACGGAGTAAGAAATCAAGGCGAACCAGCGGGCCTTTTTTGTCTTGCCGTGGCTCATTTCCTCAACCACTGCTTTTGGTCCGTGGCGCAGCCCTACAACACCGATGATCCCCGTAGAAAAAAGGCCGAAAAGGGTTGCAAGTCTCTTTTCTATCCCCCCCTCCTAGTTTGGTGTTCCGTGCCACAGAGGCAGCCGGACCCTGCCCGGCCTTGGGTGGACTGATGTCATGGGGGCCGACATTTGCATCACCATGCTATGCTATCGCCTCGTGGTGTTTCTCTTACTCTTTCCAACTAGACTTGGCAGCTACGTGCAGCGGGATTGGGCAGGTTAACCAAGGATCACTGGGCGGCGAACATAATGCGCAAAAACCTCATAAAGGGCTGTCCCCTCTCAGCTTGTGGCCCACTCCGACGACGGGGTCTACCATTGTGTTTAGATTGCTTCATAACAATCGCAATTGAAGGCGAAGCCAGCCTATATATTCCCCTTTCTGCTGAGAATCGATTCTCACGATACCCTCACTTTCACATCTGTGGAAATCCCCATACACAGCAATACTCTAATATCCACCCATTAATCCGTACAATCAATCTCCCCCTTTCATCTTACACAAGACCTGTATATCATCATCAATCCTGCCGGCATCATCATGTCCACCACAGAATTAGAATTCAAGATCCGCCAGGCGGCCGTTAAAAACCGTGAACTACTCTCCATTCTCGCCGAAACAGACCATGCCGTGCCGGATCTGAAGCAACAACGCCGCCTCATCTCGGATCTCGAGAGCCAGCTCCAGGCTTCTGACAAGAATGTGCGTAATCTCGACACGCAGCGCAAAAAGGAGCTCAAGGAGCACGAAAAGTATCGCGACAGCGTCATGCGCCGCTTCATGCACAAGGCCGTCGGCAAGCGTGAAAAGTTTGATGAGAGAGCCGCCAAGGAGGAACGCGAGTACTTTGATGTGCTGCAGGAGGAGCATCGCGAGAAGGAGATCAACAAGAACCTGAGAGATCAGCTCGAGGAGGCGAAGAACGCAAAGGGCCCCTTGGAAAAACAGGCCAAGAGACACGAAGATGCGCAGCGCGAGCTGGACAGCTTGTATGATTCCATCTTTGCAGGCCCCACGCCGAGCCACCCAAAGGAGGACTCCCTCGAGCATGCGACCTCGCGGGCGCTGAACGCCTACCACGACACCAGATCAAAGGCCGAAGCTGAGCAGCACGCAATCAACTTGCTCACCGATTCCATCAGGCGCATGGGCGATGCTCTCCGTGAGATAGACCAGGCCCTCTCCCACTCCCGCATGGACATGTTCGGCGGCGGGACCATGTCGGACTTGATGGAGCGCAACTGTCTTCAACGTGCCGAATCCGCAACGCAAGAGGCGAGGATGTTGGTGATGCAGGCGCAGCGTATGACGCCGTACATCGGCGACATGCCTTCTGTCACGATCAACCACGGCAACCTGCTGGGCGACGTGTTGTTCGACAACATCTTCTCCGACATGGCGTTCCACGACGAGATCAAGAAGTCTAGGATGTCGGTAGAGAGGGCCGCGGAAGCTCTAAGTCAGTTCTTGAAGGAGACCAGAGGTAGACACACGCAGTTGTCATGGGAAATCAAGGAGAGAGAGGCGACCCTGGAGGAGACGCGGTTGTTGCTGCAGAAAGAGCGGGAAAGGCTGTTTGAGATTTTTGCTGGAAGCGATAACTCGGAGATCAAGGCAAGGCCGATTGCAGTTGCTAGTGGCTCGTCGAAGCCGTGGGACTATTGAGCTTGTCAACTGGGCAGGGACTGTTTGACGATCCGTGGCGGAGGATGGACTGATGTGGCTGCAACCTTGGCTACTTGCTAGCGTCTAGATACCAATTTGTTCATTACGATAAAAAGAAAAAACGAGGATTTCAGTTCATAATTGTTTCATTTCATCATAGTCGAATGCTATCTTGCACGGCCGTTATCGCTATCTAGGTATCTAGTATTCCATGTGCTGGTGGCGTCCGCGGCGCTCACTGGACATAGGTACGATTAGCATTATGTATGGCTTTGTGGACTAAGACTACAACTCACGGGTTATACTCCTCCATGTCGCCGTACTGCTCCTGGTACAGATGCTCCGCCTGCTTCTCGGCGTGTCTCTTGGCCTTCTCGCGGTCGAGATAGTCGAGACCCTTAGTCTCAAACAGCTTGTCGACCTCTGCGCCTGCAAGGCCAACGAGCATCTCCTTCGCAAAGGCATGCTTGACGGGCTCTCCTGAATACCCAAACTGATCAGCAACCGAGTTCTAGTATCACGCAGGGACCTGCTCATCAGGTCGAAATGGCATGGATGGTATGCATACCGTTGCGGCGCTGACGGTCCTCGAACAGCTTCATGGCCTCAAAGGCGGCACCACCGGCGACAATCTCGTGGCTGAACTTGGCCTCGTGCTGGCCGTAGACGGCATCACGGTGTTCTCTGGCTTCGCCTATGCTGTATGAGTATTTGCTCTTGTAACCGGAACAGGAAGTGACGTACCGAATCCGAACATTTTGTCTAGTTTTAAAGGTGTTTATATGGTAAAAGTGAACTGAGTCTTGCTGATTAAAGCTTGAAAATCATCCATTATCGAGGGGCAGCTCGGGCGGCTTTTATCCCCTCCAGACCCGAAAGAGCTCTCATGTGATCTCAAGGGTCCAGGTAAGCTTGCCTGTCTATTTTGAGAAAAAGAGCTCAGCCTAAACCTATTTGCCCCTGATGATCCCCCCTTCTCCATGTCATGATGAAAGGAATGCGTGTTGGTCGGTCTCCGGTTCTGCAACAACAGGTATCAGGGTCCACGGACACCCCATCCAACCTAGTGTAGCTCCTATCCATGCTTGCCTCGCCCGCTTCGTGGGAACGCTGAACCCCTTGACGGGGGGCCCGGCTCTGCCACTTCAAGGCTAATGCATTATGAAAGCTATTGGTAAAATCGAGCTTCACCTTGCCGAGCTAGCCTTAGCCAACCATGGCCTGACGTAGAGATGCGCATTGGTTTTGGCGGGGATACTCGGGATATCGGCAGCGTCCCTTTTTTTGCCTTCGTGGTGGAGGTAACACGATGCATGCTTGTGCTCCATTCGTCTTGACACATGTCCCTACTCCTAGGATCGTTCTATGATTCGCAAGAGAATCCGACAGATGATCAAACCTACTTTCCAAGCTGGAGAAAAAAAAAAACATCAATGCGCAAAATTGAACCCCGCCTTTCAGATGTTTGGGCGAGATTAGTAACAGACACGCGCTGAGTAACACTGGATGAACTCAGTTGAAAGACTACTCCGAACAATAAGTGCCAGGCGTCAGTCACTACGTATCGTTTTCAAGGGGAAATAAAGGGGAATTTGAGATACTGGAATCCGGGCTTTTCGCCATTTGGTAAGGACCGCCCCGTCGGCGCGGAGAATTCGGCATCTCGTCCGCGTCAGCCACCCCTGCTGGGCTGAACGATAGAACCAAACAAGTGGCGTCCGAGAAAGCTTGTCGCAAGCAAAGGCGGGCGGGCGGGCGGCAAACCGGCAAACAAAGCTCCACGCGTTGTTACACAAAAACAACCGCCTCGACAGGCCCATCTCAAAACTATTTTGGCCCTAAAGCACCCGACTCGGTCCGTCAAGTCCACCAATGGCTTCATAAATCCACATAAACGTCGGCACTTGTGTGAGAAGTAGACAGGCAGGTTGGCAGTGCGTATGAGACGGCGACGGCCTAGGTCCTTAGATAGTCCAAGTCACTTCCTTCTGTACTGCCCGTTGACATCATGACGTGTCAGCCTGGCTCGTGCGGTTTATGTCTCAAAAAGTACTTCGATGCCATGAATCAAAGGGGCGTCGGGAAGGACACGAGCCCTCGGCAAGTGGGTGTCTTATGCCGTTCTAAAGATCTGCTGATTCCCCCTCCGAGAAGTGAATCCAGACCAGATCACCCAGGTGTTGAGAGAGAGAAGCATAACCTGTACGGTCCCATTTGTGGGGATAAGCAAAGGAACTAGACCATGTTCTTCCTGCTCATGGGTCTGGGCTTTGCCTTGGAACTTGCAGCCAGACCAGGGCATGAAGCTCAATCATGCGCTGAACCTCTTTGACCGCTCCTTTTCCTTCTCAAGCTCGTTGATCTTACGAATGCTGCCCCATAAGTAGCTATATCATGATAGGGCATGAAAACAGTAGCATGAGTGCGACAGTAGGAAACCGACATGTTCTAGCCAGATACTGATCCTGACATGAAGGTAAGTCTGTCAAATACACGTCAAGACGATCACCTCTTCTTGGCGATGGCGGGATCGTGCATCAACGGAAGCGTCCCGTCTTGGCAGGGTCCGCGCCGGGGGTGGCAGTGCCCACCCACACCTAACCACAGCAGCGGCCACATGCTGCGGTAGCTTCATTAGCCAGTTCACAGAGCTTAGCTTACCTTGCCCATGACTAGACACTATGCCGATGTTGCAGCGAAGATATTCTACTGTGTACACACCCGCATTCCACCGTGGGAACCAAGGCCATCACAATCGCGAAAAGCTTCTCTTCTTTAAGCTCATGGTAATGGGGTCTTTCTGCCCCTTTTCCTCCAGCTCAAACCGAGCGCCTGAGGATATCGTGAATAAAGCTCTGTGATTCTATACGACTTTGTAAGATTTCCGTTCCGTCTATGCCTTGCCCGCTCCAAACTTGGTCTGGTACTCCTCGTGGGCCTTCTTTTGTCTCTGCCATTCCTTCTGCAGCTTCTTCAGCTGGCTCTTAGGCACATCGCTGCCGTCCTTCAACTTAGTGGGCAATCCCTCCGCGTCCCACTCGGAATACTTCTCGTCTCCCTTGAACATTTCCGTGTGGGGAAGCTTGGCCTTCTCCCACTTCTCCTTCTCCGCCTGCTCACGAGCGCGCTTGGCCTCCTCCTTGGCCCGTGCCTTCTCAGCCTCCCTGGCCAGCTTCTCGTTTCTTGCTGCGATCAACTCACTGGCGTCTATGAACTTGATCAGAGAAGACTTGCCGTCCGGCCTATCGTCCAGGGAGACACCCAGAACAGTCAAGTCCTCGTCACGAATGCGGTCAGTGAGAGAAAGAATGGCCTTCTTGATCTCGGGGGAGACCGACGACACGATGCGTCGGAGCTCGTCACGCAATTTTGAAATAGCCCGCAGGTACGGCAGCGCCAATTGCTCAGAGTCACGAACACCCTTCGAAGAAACCGACTCAAACTCGGCATCGGGGTTTTGTTGGCTGAGGAGATCGGAAACAGAGTCCGAGGACAGCTTCAGCGCCTCGACATCTGACTTCACCTTGGCCCAGACCGCAGCATACGGCTGCACGACAGCTTTGGGCTCAACGTCCTTCTTCACCGTAGGAACCCAACCAAGGCCATCGTAAGGAGCCTTAGCATTCTCGTCCAGACCGAAGATGCCAAGGATCTTGGTGATCCAGCGGCCAATGGCTACCAGTTCAGGCAGTCTCGCCTCTGCATCCTGAGAAACAATCACCTTGTTCGCCTCACTGACCAGTTCCTGAATCACACGCATCGCCTGAGGGGTATCAAAAGAGTTGGTTAGGGCAGTGTGCAGGTCAGTCTTGGCCTTCTCCAAGTCAGCCAGTAGGCCTTCAGTCGGCTTGTCCTTGATAGAGAGGGACTCGATGCCTTCCGTAGACGCGTTTGCGTCGGCAACGAGGGCCTTGACGTTAGAGAAGTAGTTCTACAGCAAGTTAGCATTACTTCGCACTAGCAATGCACAAGACACTTACGTTGACGGTGGCCTCCCAACTTGATGCCTGAGCTCTCATGTCGGGAGAAATCTCAACACCATCGTTCCACTTGCCCATGAGGAAGACAATGCGCATTCCTCTTGGGGAATAGGTCGTCGCAAGCGCGTCTTGGATAGTTTGGAAGTTCTTCAGAGACTTGGACATCTTGGAGCCGGAGATAGAAAGATGTCCCATGTGCAGGAAGTTATTGACCCAGGTGTGCTCGCCCTTCTCCTTCTCGCAGAAATAAGCCTCGCTCTGGGCCAGTTCATTGTCATGATGGGGGAAAGCAAGATCAATACCACCAGAGTGGATATCCATCTGTGCGCCGAGAATATCAGAGGCCATGACGGAGCACTCAATGTGCCAGCCAGGGCGACCTTGACCCCACCTGCTGGGCCAGTACGGCTCTCCCTTCTTTGACTTCTTCCACAGCGCAAAGTCACCCTCATTCCGCTTCTCGCCAAGGTTCTTGGAAAGTGCTCCCTCGCCATCTTCCTGCAGGGACTTGTCGTTGCGATTACCGGGACGCAACCGCGCGTAGGTGTTGCCTGCCTTCTCGAACGCCGTAATGTCAAAGTAGACAGAGCCGTCGGACTCGTAGGCGAAACCCTTATCCACGATCCGCTCAACGAATGCTGCGATCTGGGGCACGTACTCGGTAACTCTTGTGATGAAATCGGGGCGCAAGCAGTTCAATGCGTCCATATCGTCGAAGAATAGCTTCTCCATGCTCTGGGTCAGGTCGGTGAAGATGGTCTGATCGCTGGTGTCGATAGTCTCCTTGTACAGAGAGTCGAGGTATGGCAGCAGGATCTCATCGATTCCGGGGTAGAACTTCTTGTCCTTGATCGCGAAGGCGGCGGTATCCATGTTGCTAATGTGCATCTTCGTCTTGGCCTCGTCGTCACCTGGCTTGCCCTCTCCGGTCAGCGTACCGCCAGCGAGGACCTTGCCGTAAGCGCTATCCCTCCGCTCGAGGTAGTTGTTCTCGTCCAGCTCCTGTCCGTCTGACTTGAGGAGAGGCAGGCTCTTCTCGGCATATGCGCGGAAAGCGGTGAGGGCGAGGTTCGTAAGCTCTTGCTCTGAGTAGTTCTTCTGCTTCTCGAGCTCGAGGAGACGCTGTCTGCGGGCCTTGATAATAATCTAGAGAGAGAAAGCAGTCAGCTAGGTTTTGTGAGAAGAAGATCCAAGTCCGTAGGTGGCACACCTTGTCGTCAACATCAGTGATGTTCATGACAAACTTCACGTCAGCACCAAAATAGTGCATCATGATGCGCCGGATAATGTCAGTGGAGACATAGTTACGCGCATGACCCAAATGGCTCTTGTCGTAAACGGTAGGCCCGCAAGCATACCAAGAAACCTTTCCTGGTTGGATTGGGGTAAAGGGCACCGGCTGGCCGGGCTTCAAGGAATTGTGCACCTTCAACGACTCCATTGTCGCGATGCTGGTGCAGGTCCTAGAGAAACGAAATCTGGGTATCGGAGTGGAGATTCGAAAGGAAATTCTGGTGAGTCTAAAGAGGCGATTCATCCAGGACTAAATACAGGACACTGCAGAAGGAGGGGCATGGAAAGAGGGTACTGTACGGGTCGAAGGGTTGGGGTTGAGTCACTAAGAAAAGGGAGGGGGGCCTTGGAGGGGGGAGGAGTCAGAAAGCCAAGTCGCCTTATCAAAAAATAAGAGGGTGACACCATCCTCAGCCTTGCAGAATCCGGGGCGGTGAGTCACTATGCAGCTGTGTCAGTGGTTGGCCAAAAGATCAGCCACAGATGCCCCGCGCTCAGCCACAATTGACTTTTTTTTTTTCCACTTCGACTGTCAGCCTTGCGTGAAGTTTTTCTTTCGTAGGGATTCTCTTCAAGCAAGTTAGGCTTCATTTTTTTTCTCTCGAGGGCCACAACTACAGATTTCCTGTCGTTTAGAATTTAATTCTAGCGACACCAACATCCCAAAATGGTGAAGCCATCTCCATTTCTCGAGCCTGGCCCGAGGACATCCGCCAATTCCATTGCCGTTGTCCAGCTGTCCCGCGATAACCTCGTTCCCTTGATCCTCCGAGACTCCACCGGTGCCGTCGATGGTTACGCCGAGGGCGCGGTTCTCAACACACGATTCGGCTCGTTTCCTCACTCCACTCTAATCAATGTCCCTTGGGGCTCGCAGATTCGCGCTTCAAATGTCGATACTGGTTCGCGCGGTCGCAAGCGCAAGAGAAAGGAGGAGGAGACTGATGTATCGACACCAGCGGCTGATGATGCCGACGCAGACTCGGGTGCCCCAGTAAAGAAGGCAGTTGCCGCCGCGAGCGGCTTCGTTCATATTCTTCAGCCTACTGCCGAGCTCTGGACCGCAGGCCTGCCGCACCGTACTCAAGTTGTCTACACCCCCGACTACAGCTTTGTCCTCCAACGGATACGCGCCCGCCCTGGCACCCGATTGATTGAAGCCGGTGCCGGCAGTGGCAGCTTCTCACACGCTTCTGCTCGTGCCGTTTACAACGGCTACCCCGAGAACGATACCCAGCGTAAGGGAAAGGTGTTCAGCTTCGAGTTTAACAAGGATCGTTACGAGAAGATGCAGGAGGAGATTCAAGCGCACGCTCTGGAGGGAATTGTGCAGCTCACGCATCGCGACGTCTACAACGGAGGTTTTCTGGTTGATGGCAAGAGCCCCGAAGCCGAATCCATATTCCTCGACCTGCCCGCGCCGTGGGAGGCACTCCCTCACTTGTCACGAAGGAAACCTGCGGCGGCCAAGGATGGAGAGGCCAATGCGGCGGAGTGGGTTTCGCCATTGAACCCCAAGAAATCGGCCTACATTTGCACATTTTCGCCGTGCATTGAGCAAGTACAGAAGACGATCAACACGATGAGAACTCTGGGATGGGTGGATATTGATATGATTGAGATCTCCAACAAGAAGTTCAACGTCATTCGCGACCGTGCCGGTATGGGCCAGCCTGAGCGAGGTATTGCGCCCAGCGCGCGCGATGTCACTGAAGCGGTGGGCAAGCTGCGCGAGATTGAGAAGCGCACGAGAGAATTCCACAACCCGAACGATCCCAACTCGGCCGAGGACTCGCCAGCAGCTGCAAACGCCATGGATATCGACCAATCTGCGAACACCAACGGCAACGCCACTCCGGAGGAGGAGACCAACGTGGTGAAGCCTTGGTTGCAGGGCCGTGTGATCCATCGTGCGGAGCCCGAGTTGAAGACACATACGTCGTATCTTGTCTTTGCCGTACTGCCCCGTGAATGGAGTGAGGAGGAGGAAGCCGCTGCGCTTGCAAAGTGGCCCTGTGGCTCTGAAAAGGGCGTCATCGGCACAAAGGACAAGGAGACCCGCAAGCAGGAGAAACGCGATTTGCTACAGGGTAAGGGCAGGAGGAGGAAGAACAAGGCATGAGGCCAAAGACAGACTGCCCGTTGAGTTGAGGAGCATGGGACTTGCGAATGAATCACATGATGGGACTGGTAGATACCCTAGCATCAGTGTCATGAAGTACGTTTAGGAGTATGGCGATAATCAACCCTATCTTGGACCCATTTCTGCTGCATTCCCGACCATGTTCATGATTTTCATTCCGGTGAGAAAGTATTTACACAGCAGACAGAAGGCTAGGAGACGGGCTTGCGCAAAAGTAAAGGCGTTTTTGTACTCTTATATTCTATTATTTTCCACATGGCTTTTTAGTCCTTGACAACCATAGCATCCGGCTGTCTGCCCTTGCCTTCAACCAAAACACCAGCCTTCCTCAAGATATCGACGCAGTTGTTCACAACCTCGGGCTTGACGCCCTCAACACCATTGGTAAACTTGACAGTTTTGAGCCATTCCCTCGCATCAGCCTCAGAGTAGTCGAGGTGCGTGCTGATATACTTGACCGCCTCATCCTGGTTCTCGTTGAAATGCTTGACTCCCTTATCAAGCTTCTCAAACAAATCTTTGACTCGCGGGTCCAGCTTCTGGCCCTCCTTTGCAAGCTCCGTCGAGGCGACAATCTTCCAGCTGCTCCAGGGCGTGTAGATCTCACCGACGCGGCGGATCTCGCCAGAGTCGTAGTAGCGCTTAGACGTGAAGTGCTCCCACATGAAGAAGTCAGCGTCGCCAGAGTTGACGGCGTTGCGCAGGTTCTCAAAGTTGTTGAGGATGACGGTGTCCGAGAAGGGCTGGGGGTTAGAAGGCGACAGCCAGCCGTGTTGATCGGCAAGGACGAAGCCCATGATCTGGCTGCCGGAGCCAATGCGCGACACGCCGATCTTGCCGCCCTTGAGGGATTCCACGGAAGTGATCTCGGGGCGCTTGGCACCGGTTGAGATGGCCCAGCCTGGAACTTTTCGTCAGCAATCCGTGACCAAGGGGGCTTATCGTATGAGAACCAGATGACTTACAGAGGGGGGTGTCGACGTATGTGCCGACGAGACGGTATCCCCCGTCGCCAGGGGCGTCTTCCTTGCCCAGACCGGCAATCCAGCCTTCAGTCAGACCAATACCGATATCAATCTCTCCGCCACGGATGGCAGTAATCATGTGGCCGGTCCCAGAAGGGAAAGGAACCAAGGTGGCGTTGAGGCCGAAGTGCTGCTTTGCGAAATGGAGGGGCGTGGAGAAGTGCTCCGGCACGAAACCGATTCTGAGGCCCTGAGTAGATGCCATGTTGTATAGAATTAGATTTACCACGCGGGTAAGCAGCAGTGAATAATACGAATGAGAAGGCGACACGATGGTTGTGAAGCAGGTTACTTTGCGCCGGCCGGGTGAAGGACTTGAAGAATTGCTCTCACGGTTGCTGCTACGTTGGATGACTGGAGGTGGTGGTGGTGTGCGGGGTATTTTAGGCGTTTCCGCAGGTCAATGTCGCAACCACCACAAGCCGGAATTACAGTATGATGGAGTCAATCGACTACAGCCCAGTTCCTTGAGCTCCCGCCGCTAACAGCTACCTCTTGGTTCTGAGGCTTTAAGCTGCCCCTCGCGCTAAAACTGTCCCTGAACCCTAACATCGGCCTTTGTTCCACTATTTGTCCCTATGGTAGTGTACTGCCGGGCTCCGCGGGGCCTAATGGTGGGGCTACCGATTCGGCTCTTGTGTTCTCTCGCCGATCACATCGCCTCGCGATCCAAGTTAAGAAGTCTCCGTTGAATAGCTAACTTTGGCTTTTTAATTCTGATCATGATTCGGACCGAAGCTAATGTAGACAGGTTTCTTAAGTGTCGTATGTTATACCTTTGTTGCTTCGGTGCAACCGCGTTTGTCAGCCATTTTATGGAAGCGTCTCTGAAGAGAAATACTACGGGGGGTTTTGCTGTATAGGTAGAATCCGGTAATAAAATGTTGCGAATACACATCTTTCTATAGGCCCAAGGTGATCAAAACTAAAGCCTTGATTTTCTAGTAAGCAGGAATCCGGTCATTATTGAGCCTGAAAATGGGAGGTGATATCTGCCTTCTGTTTCATATCATTGCGGCTAAATCTAGAGGTTGATTCCCTTGTCATCAAGTTACATAGAGCAGGTGCCGGCGTCGAATACTTTAGCCGCCAATGTCAAATCTCACCATTCGTGGGTGAATATACACCTCCCCGGGATTCTAACGTAGCAGTGGGAGGTTAACCAAATTAAAAGTCCGAAAGGCCCATGTTAGCCCTATATCGCAATAATTCGGCTCCCAATCATTTGTTTTCTTGTAAATACGCCATTAGGGATTGGCCCAGTCTAGATACATAATTATGATGTCGAGCACGCAGATGGAAACATATATCAGCAGCTTCGAAGCTCCTTTATAACACCGTAGGCATCTTGTTTCGCAAGTCTGGATACGACCCGCGATTCAACTTCAAGCTTATTCACCAGTAGTTTACAATGGCGCTTAAACTCATACTTCTTCAGTTACTGCTTGTGCCCTTGGGGCTGGCCCATCCTCACGGTGTTGAGGAGAGAGAGTTTCAGCACGCGGCCCAGCCATGGTATCGAAGATCTCTTGATCACTGTGCCGAGGCATTCTCAGAACCCGAGTTTGTGAAAAGAACCATCGAGCGCAGACACGAAGAGCTTCAACGACTTCGTCAGAAGAGGGGTATCGAAGACATGTAAGACAAACTCGGAAATGTGGCCCGAGAGCATGTACCTAAACCAAGAAAAACTAGTCCCATAATCCACGGCCGAGACTTCAACACGGTGCTCAGAACAGATCACCGCGTCAACAAACCTTACAACGAAAATACTCCGGCCTCCGAGTTGTTTGCGGGATCTGGCGCATGCATGCTTACTCCCGAGCAAACAGAGGGTCCTCTTTGTAAGAATCAATAAGGAAATATGCTGTACTTGATAGACTGACTGTGGAACAGATGTCAAGGGCGAAGAAGTCAGAAGAGAGTTGACCGAGGGTGAAGGTGGTGTCAAGATGACTATCGATATCCAGGTTGTCGACGTAAAGACGTGCAAGCCAATTACCAACGCTGCAGTCGACTTTTGGAGTGCAAACTCTACTGTAAGTCATTGTCCTGCCGGTGAGTGTAATTATATTTGCTAATATCAGATAGGGTGTGTACGGCGGTGTCCTCAATTACCCTGGCAATGGTAACCCCAACGACCTGTCTTTGATCAACACTACCACTCTACGTGGCATCCAATTCACCGACGTTGAGGGAATGGCAACTTTCGACACTGTTGTGCCTGGGCATTACGCAGGCCGAACTAACCACGTCCACGGTAAGAACCCGCTTCCCAGACCACAATTTCTTCACTTGCTAACAACTGGAAAAAGCAATTGCCCATCTCGGCGCAATCAAGCAACCCAACAACACCATCACGGGTGGAAAGGTAGCCCACATCGGCCAGATGTACTTCGACCAGAAGCTTCTCGATGAAGTTGAGAGGCTGCCTCCTTACTCAACCAACCATCAGGCTGTCACGAAGAACGCCCAGGACGCGTTGCTGGCGATGTCTTCCAACAATGATGACCCGGTCGTGCGCTATGTATTGGTTGGCAAGACTCTGGCCGACGGTATTTATGCCTGGATCCGTTTTGGTGTGGATTCAAACGCCAACCGCCCGCTGAACCCAGCAGCATGGATTGACGAGAAGGGAGGTCATCAGGGGAACCCCAACCCCGGTGGATCGCCTTTTCCTGGCTGGCCGTGGGGAAAGAACAAGAGGGAAAATGAAGAGGATTCCTGAGTTTTGAACTCCTGTGGAAGCTAAGTCTCTTCTGCAAACATCTGTACTGAGATGCCCGTACATTCTGGAGAAACTGCGGTGATATCAATTGAGTTCTTCGCCAATTTAAACTGCAGTTAACTTAGAATTGAAACGCCAACTGTGGTATCTGAAGTGAATATCTTGTATAAATCACACCAATCTGGTAAGGCACTACGCTCTAGGGATTCTGAATCATGCTTTCCTACTGAGCAGTCGAACCTCTTTTGAACATCGTGTCTGGCAATACCATGCTTGATCGAGGTGGATAACAAACCAGCAGAGTTATAACCAAACTCCTCGAGATCTGAAGAATGGGTTTCTTACGCTATCAGACCTATTTAGTTATACCCAAATCAATGCCTCCGTCACTGAATCTACTAGAAATACCCAACTTGACATGTTTATTAACTACAAGCCGGAATTCCGGAATCAAATAAAACTAGCTATGTATTTGCATGTATTTTTTCAGATTAATAGACAAAATTGCGGCATGAAGAGTGAAAGCGGATATGATAGAGCCTCATGCGTCCTTACCTGTCCTCCACAATACCACGCAGCAGCAACTACCAGTTTTGAAACAATAAGCGGCAAGAAAAGATGTATAAAACTGTGCTCCTCGAGCACATTTGATTTCATGTATTCTTTAATATTTGAGAATCTCAAACCTTAGACTGTGTAACTAATGTGCGGAAATATCGTTACCGATTCGAAGAGGCGTTTAACTAGATGTCGCTATTAACAGTAACGCATTTGCTGTTAGGTAAAAGACAAAAGTTTGGACATCTGATTTTACTGAAAGCTATATATTTGTTCGAGAGCACATCTGTCTTTTCAAAAGTAAGCATCGAAGGTTACAAGCCAGGAGCATTATTGCGATGTGCTGGGCTGGGCTTTCCCCTTATAAGAACCTGGAAGTGTCGCAAAGACCATTGCCTAATTTTCCACCATTAACAGTATGAAGAAGGCTGGATGCTTATTCTTTTGAAGCTCAAGCATCACCATACCTTTCAAAGCATATCCCCCATCTCGATGTGCAAACAGTATGCATATGTGAGGGAAATTGCGAAAGCGGACATCACAAAAGCCCGAAGAGGAGAAGTCAGCAAGGATCAATAATGCCTTATCGGATAGATTTAACATACGAGCTGCAAGTATCTGATTTGCGCGTGGTTGCGGGGAAGCTCGGCATTCCCTGAGGAGTTTCGCCTCCGTAATCGAAAGAGGAAAGAGGTGAGAGTTGCCTGCTATTTCAATCTGCCAAGACGAGGAGATGACATGCAGGTGTGGCACGGTGAAATTCGTTCGCTCATTGAGTCTAATGATACCCCGAGCTCCTTCTACTACACCAGCGTTGTAGCTTAAACGTTTATAGTTTTGGCGGTAATGTAAAAGTCTTTAAATGACATAGGATCCCCTGGTTCAAGTGCAAGTTTAAATGGTGTTTTCCCATTCTTAACAGCCTAATAACTACGCGAGAACGATTCGACGTTTACGGTCAACATGAATTTGTTCTCTGTAGTCGCGATTCTGCTTTTTGCGGACTTTAAAGGCGTCTCTGCTGCGTCTGAAGCATCGCACACTCTATGGTACTCTCACCCTGCACTCCGAGACTTTTATGAAGGCATCCCAGTCGGGAACGGCCGCTTGGGTGCTACGATCCATGGATATCCCGACAAAGAGCTCATACGTCTCAATGAAGAATCTATCTGGAGCGGGGGGCCGATGGAAAAGATCCCTCCAGGGGCGAGAGATGCTCTTGAACCACTGCGACAACAGATCCTCGATGGACGCTTAACAGAGGCCGACAAGAACTGGGTCGCTAACTTCACGCCGGAATATGATGACATGCGACGATACCAGCCAGCGGGAGAGCTTCGAATTGACTTTAATCACACCTTCAATAACACATCGGATTACAGACATTCTCTGGACATATCCACTGGGCTGGCGTCACTGAGTTACGGGTTTGAAGGTGTGCGGTATACAAGGGAGGCGTTGGGAAACTTTCCAAAGAATGTGCTGGTTTTCAAACTCGCTGCCAACAAATCTGAATCCCTAAACTTTGATATCGCCTTAACTAGGAACGTGAACGTAACTGCCTTGGACGTGGACGCAACCGATGGAATCCTCAGGTTGGATGGAACAGGAGAGGAAGACGACACGTATCGCTATGTTTCGAAGGCGCGCATTTTGCTATCTGGAGGTAACCTTTTGCCATTCAGCAGCGTATAAAACAAGCGTATTCTGTACTGATGAATCTCGGTCTCAGATATTGGAACAATCAGCTCAAACGGCACGGCTTTGAGCGTTAGAGCTGCCAACGAGGTCTTCGTCATTTACACAGTGGAGACGGCATTTAAACACTCTTGTGCCACAGCAGACAACTTGGAAGCAATCGTGGATAGCCGTTTATCCGTAGCCGTCCAGGCCGGATACGAAGCCCTGTCCAAGGAGGCGATTCAAGACTACAAAAAGTACTACGATCGCTCCTCCATCGACCTTGGCACGTCGGACGAAATAGGCTCCAAGAGCACCATATCCCGCCTCGAGAACTGGAAACGCGGCAGCAACATTACCACAGATCCCGAAATGATGGCTCTCCAGTTCAACTACGGGAAATACCTCCTCATACAATCTTCCCGTCCGGGCACACTGCCAGCAAATCTCCAGGGCATTTGGAACAGAGACTTCCGGCCCCCCTGGGACAGCAAGTTCACCATCAACATAAACCTCGAGATGAACTACTGGCTCGCTCAACCCCTCGATCTGCCAGAGATCTCAGAGCCAGTCGTCGACTTCGTCGACCGCATGGCCGTGACAGGCAGCGAGGTGGCCAAGGGCATGTATGGCAGCGAAGGCTGGTGCTGCCACCACAACACCGACATCACGGGCGACTGCACGCCGTTCCACGCAATCACCATCGCGGCCCCTTACCCCCTCGGCGGTGCGTGGCTGGCGTTCGAGGCTATCGAGCACTTTCGCTTCACGGGCGACAAGGCCTACGCGCGGGACCGCGTCTTGCCCCTCCTCCGGGGTGCCATGGACTTCATCTACAGCTGGGCCACCGAGCGCGACGGGTGGTGGATTACGAACCCTAGCTGTTCGCCCGAGCACTCGTATTACATCCCGGAAAACATGACGGTGGCAGGCGAAACCACGGGCATCGATGCGGGGGCCATGAACGACCGCGCCATCATGTGGGAAATCATGTCGGGCTTCGTCGAGATCTCAAAAGCCTTGGGTTCCACGGAGGGCGTCGAAAAAGCCACGGAGTTCCGTGATAAAATCCAGCCGCCTCAAGCAGGCTCATACGGACAGTTGCTCGAGTATTCCAGAGAGTACAGGGAGAACCAGCCCGGTCACCGTCACTTTTCGCCCTTGGTCTGCGTGCAACCCGGCACATGGGTGACGCCGCTCACGACGCCAGATTACGCAGACATGGCTTACAAGCTTCTGCGGCACCGCATGGATAACGGGGGAGGAGGCAATAGCTGGGCGGTCACCTGGGCAAGTCTCTTACACGCCCGGCTGTTCGACGCCAGCAACGCGCTTAAATACGCCATGGAGCTGATTTCGCGCTGGGTGCATAACAATTTGATGAGTCGGAACGGAAGTTACTTCCAGATTGACGGGAACTCGGGCTTCACTGCGGCAATCATCGAGATGCTATTGCAGAGTCATGCGGGCGTCGTTCACCTCGGCCCAGCGATTCCTCCCAAAGGTCAGGGTTTGTCAAGCGGAAGCTTTCGAGGCTGGGTAGCTCGTGGGGGGTTCAAAATCGACATGGCGTGGCGAGACGGTGTTGTTACCGGAGCCGAGATTACATCGCTTCTGGGCAACCCTCTCAAAGTGAGAGTAGGGGGCGGACTTGCTTTTGCAGTCAATGGAGCAGAACGTCGTACGGCTAGTGACGAGATCCCTACGGAAGTCGGTGGAAAGATTATCATATCCGTGTAGTAGATGAGCAAGGGAGATGTGCTTATAGAACCCCTACCTAAACATTGGCAGCAGCGTGCTCCTGGCCTATTTGGAGAAGCAAGTCCATTTCGTTCTGAATGCTGTATCAAAAACATCGCCCCACGCCGACATTTTGTGTCTTTACTTGTCGAACAGATCATTGAACAGTTGCATCAAAGATGCAGTGAGATAGAGTAGATTCGATGATGAGACTAGACCATTTGATCGGCGTTATAGCGGCATGGTAGGAGCCGAGGAAAGCAGACTAAGGTCGCTGGGGTCTACCCGGGCATGCATGTGCCGTGTTAGCAGGGCCTCCTTTCGAAGACCATAAGGCTTATTGGCCCAACGTTCTACCCACATACAACAAATCAACTGTGAAGACTTCATGATTGACCTTGAAATCTTTTATAGACAAATTTATGCTGACAACGCTACTATACTAGCCCAATCCTGAGGGATGACAGTCAGCGAAGCTATTTACATTACATCATTATTGTTGTGGTGGTACAATTACTCAAGCACAGCAAGCCCATAGCACTCGATGCACGACTTTGCCGGGTGCTCGCCGGTCGCCAGAGAGCCGTGCCAGTCGGAACATACAAAACGTGCAAGGCGGTGTTCCCTACGGATTGCAATGGCCACCTTGCATCAGGGGTGCTTAAATGCGGCAGCAGCATGGCCTTGTCAGTTGTTGCCCTTATTTATGAAGGTCCATGCAGTCAGCCGGTACTGAGCCTCTAAATACACTCTTTCGAGGTATTGGTGGGGAAAATCAATTATGCGGTGATCAAAAGGTTGTCCTTGCGAGAGGAGCCTTCTCCGAAACGTGGCAGCAAGATGCTTCACGTTTATCGTGGAGCAACATTGCCAGTGCCAGTTGCCGGGTGACTTGAGGCGTACCGCGCAGCAACGCCAGAGAGGATGTGTCACTGCAGGCGAGCTCAGCAGACTGATTGACGATGACTGCGCGTGCACTTCGGAATCGAATCGAGTAGGATTGCTCACAGTACATCGCTGATTAGGCGAGTAGTAATGCGGAGCCACGACCCCGGCGCCGTTTGCTGCTCAGGGATTTGGACTTCCGAACGGCTCGGGGCAAAAGCTGCTGGCTTGTCACATTAGGTGGAAAGCTGCATGATCCAGGCAGAGTCGCCAGGATAGCCGCATGAGAAGGTTGGCAAGACAGCCGTCGAGTATTCCGAATGAAATAACGGAACGATTGTGACTCTTCGCATCACCGGTGGTCAAGTGCGCGAAAGACGGTTGTGTTTTTGACAAAGCATTCATCATCTTGGGTACGACACCCAAGAGAAATGCGGGCTGTGCGTTCATCTCCGTAGCCCTGCATGTCAGCGATGATTCGGGCGGCGGCGTTGCAAGACATTTCGTGCGGGGACGCAGCGGGCGGACGATGTGATTCGGTCCGGCGAGGGGGCGTCTGACTTCTCCGCTCATAGAAATGAGGATTTCTGCCGGGCTCTGGAATCGTTTGTGTAGGCGGAGGCGGCTGACTTGACCGGTTAAGACTAGCATTGGCCAGCATGGTGAGCTTATCCAGCGGCGAGTTCTGCTGGACGTCCGGTGTGGGGGTCAGAGTGAGCACGGGCGGAAGAGTATCACCAAATTTTCTCTTGGCGTTATTTGAATCGCCCTCTGGTTCAGATGAGAACCTCGTGTTACTGAAATGTTCCTGGAGCGGCGGAAGCTGTGTTGGCGATGGCTCGAGAACAACAGGGGTGTTCAAGATGGGAGGAAGAGTTGCCGGGAGAGGCGCCACAGGCGAGCCTTTGCTATCGTCTTCAAAGGACCTCAAATATGCCTCGACCTGTTCGCCAGAAACGCCTCTGCTTGCCAGCAAAGCTTTTAAGCGAGCATTCTCAATTGATACGTCGCGAGCGGCTTTCTGCATTTGCACCGAAGCCTCGATGCCCCGTTTCTCGTACTCCTGGACCTTTCGCTGAAGCTCGTCGACGAACTCCTTGTGTCGGGCGCGAGACCGACGCTGATTGTCACGGATTCGTATCGCGTTGGCTGATTTGTCTGTCTGGAGCTGTTCCTCGAAGAAGTCAGCGAGAGAGCAAGAAGAAAAGAACAAGAAGAAGTTTAGAAAAAGAAAGAAAGAAAAAATAAACAAAACAAAAATCAAGCCAAAGGGGAGGTTATCCATAACACACAATTGGAGATGAAGCAGTAGGGATGGTAGTGGTGACATGACTTACCCGTCCTCGCTTGGCCTTTTTGGCCTGGGGGCCAAAGAGGTCCTGGTAGTCTTGCTCCGACGACATTTAGTCGAGTCCGTTGGTTTCCTAGACCGTCCGAGATTCCCGGGAGAGGATAGAGGCGTCGACAAACATTCGCAGGGCGGTGAGGGCAGAAAAGCCTGGAAGAGAAGAGAGGAAAAGGCCTGCCAGGTTTTTGCTGGTGGTTGGTGGTGACAAACAAGTGAAAAAGCAAACGTGAATCTGGGTCGATGACTAATCTCGTTAATCGGCCAATTCGCCAGGGCCAGTCTGATTTTTTTTTTCGCGCTAAAGGAACCCTGTCAAATCAGAATTCACGGAGCTGTGTCCGCAGTGGAGACCGAGCTCCATCACTCAAAACATGGCACATTCAGCTTTGTACAGGGACACACACACGTTCTCTGAGCGTCACTGTAGGTAATTGGTTGTGAGACATGGCTTGGCTGCTCACGTTCGAAATCGTGTCAAGGCAACGAACGCTTGGGGAGGGGATGGAGGTATCCGTGAGGTACTCCTCATATAAGAGTTTATTCATCAGCCACAATCCAGATATTGGTGTACTGCAATTTTTCTGTGTCTGCCGAAATGGTTTGGCTAATTGACCCCTAACCTCTATTTCGTATTCTCCTCAGCGAGTGAGCGGCTGAGTGACTGACTGAGTGACTGAATGAGTGACCGAATGTGTGTAAGAATGTGTCACTCGAGGCTCTGGTTGGACTCAAAAAAAACACACACGGCCCACATTGTATCCATGACGGTGTGGCTACTACTATCTATGGGTGTGTGGTATCCACGCGGATGCACGCCAAGTTGCAAGGATACATCGCGGGGAATCAAGGGTCTCTCACCATCTGTATGTGGGACTGATTTAGATGGTCATCACATCGTTTGAGTCTTGGAATGGAATGAACTAAGGCACCAGATCAGGCTGTTAGGGAACCCCGATTGAATTAGGCGGCTTTTCTTCTTGTGTAATCAGGATCAATTCATCCCTCCCCATATCCATATCCCTAGAAAACCTCCCTCGACTGTACAGGATGCATAGTCTAAAGGTTGAATTCTGAGCCCATCCGCATCGTCAAGATGGACATGACGAAAATTACGGAAAGACACATCCAAGAGATGCATTTTCCATTTTGATCAATTTCCTCTGGATACTAGTCATTTATTTTCCGAAATCACTTTTCCTCCTAGTCGGACAGCTTTCGGGGATAAGATGCCTGCCGGAGGAGGTTAGCAGACTTTGTGATCTCGGCTTGGTTTGAGACAGGAGGCCATTCAACAGGATCCACGAAAGCCATCGAAATAAAGGTCTCACTCTACCACAGAAGCCAAAACATGCTCCTTAGCGCAACCGTCCCGAAGGAGACGTCTCCGAGGCCAATCAGGGTTCCTTCAGGCGCTTCAGTTTGGCGTCAGCCACTATTCTTTAACTTAAGAGTCGTAAATACCACTCCTACTCCCTTAGGAAGCGCCTCTTGAGGGTATTAACCTCTTTGCCCTATCAAGTTATTTGGTTGGCATCGATCAGTATATAAACGTGGTTACTAGTATGCAATCGGAACCTGTGCAGCGATGGGCATGGGCTGTCTTGCTTGACAGCTAATCCGCCGGCGGCTCGGCGGCTCGGCGACTCGGCGACGCGGCGAGACGGCGAGACGGAGACAGCATTTAGTAGACAGAATGCTCAGCTGTGAGATCATTACCGCACATGGAATTTTTGATGGGTTTTCTCAGAGTGGTATAGTACATTCGGAGTGTGCTATTTTCAAAAGTGAGGGCATTTAGGCGTGAAATGTGGAAATGTCGGCAGAAGTCCCAAAAAAAAAAAAAAAAAAAAAAAAAAAAAAGGAGAAAAAATAATAATTATAAGCAATTGCAATTGTAACGACAGATGGTTATAAATGCGTTGACCAGTACAGAGACCCAGTTATGATCTGGCTTACTAGTACGAGCTGTTGACAGCTGCAGTAGCGTATTCAATAGTTTTCAATTTCTCACCAAATCAGGAAACCAAATCAGGAAACCAAATCTGCCCACCTGGCAAACACCCATGTCCAGTATCAGAACAGGATGCCCAACGTACTTTAAAAGAACGACCTCGCACCTGTGAACACCCACTGAAACCCACGCAAGGACATTTCTTCCCTAGACCATCTCCGCTTGTCCAACACGGCAACCATGTCTTCCGTGCCGAATACGTCGGAGCCGCATAGCCCTGTCCCCTTCACGTACGATGATGGCCGGGCAACCCTGCCTTCTGCATCAACGCACATCAGACTGCTAGAACTCTATCCATCTGGAACTAACCCTGTATCTGCGTCTGCGTCTGCGTCTGCGTCTGAATCCGCATTAGATGAAGACAACAATGATGATTCCCACTACTCGAGCCCGCTCGTATGCGACATTTCAACCACTCCGATTGCCAACCCGCGGCTCTTCCAGGCGTTGTCGTACACCTGGGGTCCACCTGATAAAACTCACACCATTGAAATCGCGGGGACACATCTTGGTATCACGGCCTCGCTGGACACGGCTTTGCGACATCTTCGTCGGAAGAATGAGTCTGTAACTCTTTGGATAGACCAGATATGCATAAACCAGGATGACGGTGCAGAGAAGACAGAGCAGGTGCCGCTGATGACCCAGATCTATAGCAAAGCGCAGCAAGTCCTCGTTTGGCTGGGTCCGGCACAGGACGACTCTGACGCTCTCATGGACTGCTGGGAGGAGATTGGTCTGGGGGCGCGCGAGCTCGATATTGAAGGATATCTCACCCGGGAGCGTCTTCCACTGTTGCGCCCTCTCATAGAGAATCGCAACCCGGAAGACGAAGTGACAAAGCAGTTTCAGGCCCTGATCGCAAAGGCTATGCCCCTATTTACGTCCCTTTTGGAGGCCATGTTGGCTTGGAACAAACGGCCCTGGTTCCAGCGGGTCTGGATCATACAAGAGCTAGCACTTTGTCATAATACCGTGTTCGTGTGCGGTTCAAAGATCGTAGACGTCGATCTCTTCCTCCTGGGAGGGCTGATATTTGACAATTGCCTGGGCAGGGTTGCCGAAGAAAACGGCTTGATGGACCAGAAGCACCTCCTTCTCGAGGCTCAGGATCGTCGCGTGGGCCCATTGCTAGCCGTTCGACGTAGGAGGCGTAACTTTGTCAAAGGCGCAGGACCTGGCGACGACCTCTTCCATGTCATGAGGAAAACATACGTTAATGGCTGCGCGCGTGCGACCCTGCCGAGAGACAGGATCTACGGCCTGCTCAGCATCGCTACCGACGGGGACCGCCTTGGCATAGTGCCAAACTACAAACGCCCAGACTGCCATCCCACATTCGTCGAGGCAGCCCGCGCCTTAATCAGGGCGGGCCGCGTGGAAGTGCTATCCTTCTCGCAGTCCCCCAAAGACATCGAGGGTTTGCCTTCGTGGGTCCCTGACTGGCGGCCGGACCTGGCTAACTCGTACACCGCCATATATGACGACGCGGAGAAGTTCCTCAACTCTGCGTCAGGCGACAGCACTGTCGAGATCGTGCACACTGACGACCCGGCTGTGCTTGGAATTCGCGGTCACGCAGTTGACATCATCGAAGAAACAGGCGACGTGTGGGAGTGGGAGGCAGGCCACGAGCCCCGCGCCCGGCATTTGCAGACGATCAAGGCGTTTTGCGAGAAATCAGCGGGAAAGGCCTTGTCCCATAGAATCTACCAGAGTAGTCAAAGACAGAGTGAATCGGTTTGGCGCGTACCCGTGGGTGACCTCTATTGGACCCGAACGTCAACGTACCACAGAGTCGTCGAGGCCGACAAGAGCGACTACGAGGACTGCGTAAACGTGCTAAAGACGCTGGGCGAGTACGAGCAACTAACACCAGAACAACGCGAGCAGCGTTTACGAGAGTTCCACATCCAAATGCCCGGGCAGGCCAACTACAGCGAGAATATGGACAAGATGTCAGGCAAGCGGCCCTTTGCCACGCGGCAGAAGGGCTGCGTGGGCCTGGGACCAGCCGATGCACGTCCGGGCGATGTCGTGGTGATACTTCTCGGTTCTCGGATACCGTATGTTCTGAGACCGTCTGGAGATGGGACGAGTGAGCGGGAGAGAACGTATTGTTTCGTCGGAGAAGCGTACTGCGACGGTATCATGGATGGTGAAGTATTCTTGACTAAGCGGGCACAGGACACATTCTACATTGTCTGAGTCTAGCAGTGGCAAGTAAGAAGTCGTCTGAGAGCGGTGATGCAGCAAGGTAGAGAGTGTGTTTTAACGGGGGGGGGGGGGGGGGGGAATGATATTTGTATTTCATGCATCTTCTCCCTAGTATTTCCTCTAAAGGTAGGCCTGTTCAGCCCGTCTAATCATATTGCCTCCCTGTCACTTTTGCCAGTCTATGTTCGTGCCAGAATCCCCAGTACTTCTTCTAATGATCGATATGAGTCCCCATCCCATTGCAATTTGCATTGTAGCTACGAAAAAGATTGTAAAGACCGTATAGTGTAGTCAAAAAAAAAAAAAAAAAAAAAAAGAGAAAAGTCCAATTTGGAAAAAAAGCCAGCGCGCGCTTTCTTGTCGTTCACGCTGGAATATGCTCCTAAAAAATGAAGTAACCACATACACACCCACACACACACACTTGATTAAAACGCCACGTTGCTCGTGGCCCAGAGCGGAAATAATTTTGCCCTTTCCCAAAAACCATCTCAGAGTCGGTTTCTGACGCTATGAACATTGCAAGCATGAACAGTGAGCCAACCCCGGCCCACGACTGCGCAGGCACAACATCCGTGGATCCGTGCCGCGGTAATCCTGGTACAACCAAACACCATTTTTTCCTTTCTTTTTTTTTTTTTTCCCCCCAACTTCGTTTCCTCGGTAAAGTGCTCTGTTGGGAGAAGCACCCACCACAGATGGTTGACTACACACCACCGTTTCCCTAGGAGGAAATTTTAGGCTTTTTAGTGGTCGTTGTAGTCCTCGTCCCTCATCGTGTACATGATGTCTTGGACGACGACTGCCCTGACATGGTGGTAGAGGACGAAGAAATAAGTGCCGAGGAGGACAAGGCTCATGGCGGTGGCAAACCACAGCACGGCTTCGTTCTGGAGTTGGTTGCCGATGGAAATTGTCGCGAGCGTGAAACCAGTGTTGGGGAAGACCATGGCCCACCAACCCAAGTGGAAGTAGACTGGCGGCGAAGAGACGACTGCGATGATGGCAATGCCGAACCACCAGGCGGCAAGCGCCCAGAGGAAGATGGCGCTCATGAGAGCAATGGTCCTGATGATGCCAACGTCGATGAGGATTCCGTTGTGGTCGGGGTCGAGGTTGTTGGGGAGGCCGTTTGCCATGCCGATGAGAGCAAGGGCGGTGAAGGCCGGGGGGCCAACGTTCATGAACAGGCCGGGGCGATGTTCGCGGTTAGGCAGGCCCGCGGACATGAGACGGCCGACCATGTGTGCGTACATGAGGACGGCAACGGACAGTCCCAGACCCTGGCAGGTGAGGCCGGCGACGACGATGGGCACGGCGGCGATCTCCGGTTGAGTGTCGGCGATGACGGAGGCGATGGTACCCGAAAGCATGATGGGGAAGATGGGCAGGATCCATGTCGGCATCATGGTCTGCAGGCCGAAGCTGTGATAGGCGAAGACGAAGCTGTACTGGCCAATGGCCAACATGAGAGTGACGATGACATAGCCCCAGAAGGCGACCTGGATGGCCCAGACGAGCGTCTCGTCGTTCTCGGGGATGGCGTATCGGTTTGTGCTCGTGATGAGCGTCGCGACGGACAGGAAGAACGTGGGGAAGAAGAAGCCTTCTCTCTCGTGGGTTATCGACTTCTTCATGTCGCCGGGGTACAGGAAGAATCTCGCCAGCATTGCCGAGCAGACCAGGACGAAGAGGATGATGTTGATGACATAAACGACGGTGCCGATTTGCCTCAGACCGGTGAACTGGTGCGGCTGGGCGAAGATGAGCAGCGAGAGACCGCCCGTGCTCATCGTGAGGGTGAACCACGCCCATGTGAAGTGGTGCAGGCGCTGCTTGAAGGCCATCCGCGGCCGGTTGGGGTCGTTGATGTCGATGTGGCCATGCTCACCGTCTGCGTGAGCCGCTGGTGTGACGCCCCTCTCGACAACAGGTGTGATGGATGTGTTGTAGCCGTCCTTCTCGTTGGCCTTGCCCTTGTCGAATTGGAGGTCCAGTGGTGCCAGCTTGGGAGAGTTTGGCCTTGATGTTTGCCATTCCACCGAGTTCTTGCGCGTCGACACCTCAGACTCAGTCCACGCCGAGTGGCCCGGATCCTTTCGATCCATGGTGAATGTGTGTAATATGTGATTTTTGTTTTTTTGTGACTTTTACTTTTTTGGGGGGAGGGGTGATTTCCCGGAGAGGCGTTTTACGATGGTGGATGCTCGCTCGCAGTGGATATCAAATCGGACCGGATCGAAGCAAGATTCTCGCAGAGAATAAGTCGTTCGCTCGAGAGTGACTGTCGGGGTCGTCTGAGAAACAAGACCCAACCAAACCGGGGAAGGGGGTAAGGCTTCTTTATGATGTTTGTGTGGGGGATGTAAATGCCAACAGAAATGCACCAATGAAGAAATGAAAAAAAAAAAAAAAAAGACTTGCTGTCGCTGAACAAGGGGATTCCGGCTCCGGTGGACTAAGTGTAAGATTAGTGGTCTTGGACGAGATGATATATCTCGGTGACTCGGGCAACCCAAGTGTAGGGAAAAATCAGACTAAGCAGGGCCTTTCTTAGAATAGTTACAATCGACCTGGGTTGCTAAAACAGGGTATCAGTCCGGTGGAGCCAGTCCGTCTGTGAGAGACGCACATTAGGGGGGGAGGGAGAGAAAGAGAGAGCAAAACAAAAATACACCAAGTGTGTGCGTATGAGACGAGACAGGTCCGGTAGATGGAGTTACGTGGTTGTGGCCACCCTTGTTTGAGGGCCGGGGGTGGAGGCTCAACTGGAGCAAAGCTCAACTCTGTTCTTCTTCGTCCATGTGTGTGAGGGTGTGTGTATGTGTGTGTGTGTGTGAGTGTCCCCCAGGTGTTTGTAGAATCCACCTTTGCGACAACCATCTTCTGTGCGCACGAGACAGAAGTATCCCCTCCAGGCACCATATTTGGACTGAAGCAAGAGAAAAGTTAAGACGAGAGATTCGCGTCACGGCAAACATACATACACACCGAGGGCTGATGGTTTGGGCCATCCGTGGTATGAGATAGAAAGAAAGATGAGTGGAAAAGGGGACCCACTCCTATGAATATCCAATGCGCCGGCGATACACGTTCGACAGTATCATATGGTTACGTTGGCCTGGTGGCCGTGAGTTGATACACTGATGTGTGTACCTACATGTCCGGTTGAGGCTCTTTGAGTAGAACGTGGTCTAGTGTTTGGGTGGCGGCTCAAGAAAGACACCCCCACGGGCTTGCACGGGGGACCCAGTTGGGCGAAAACCGTTCGCCAGAAAAGGAAAGGGATCGAGGCCAAGGATTGGCTGTCATGGGCCCGGTAGGCGGCAGATGCGGACAGGCAAGATGGTGGTTGAAGAACTAGTGAGGGCGTCTACCGTCTCAGCCCGTCAGGGTGTCTAGACATCTACGAGTGTTGGACGCAACAGATGCGGTAAGGGAAGTACACAGCCATGGGTGCAGGACTTGAAGACGGTGTCAAGGGGCAGTCCCATCAGTGTGATGTGATACAAGGCGTGAGGTATTTTGGGCCCGAGGGGTACTCCTTGATGGCTGCCGTCAGGGCCTTGGGCGAAGACAGCAGTTCGGGCACAGCCGTGCCAAGAAGTCAAATGTACCAAGGAGGAAAAGAGGCAATAGAAGGAGGAGACAGGAGAGGCAAGATGAAAAGAGTAGCGTACGAAGTGGTAAAGGGCCAATCGGGGGACCGCCAGGACACACACACCAAGGCCGCGCATCCCTCCCATTCCTAGAGGAGAGGGCCGTGCTTCGCTCAGAGATTTTCCTTCTTCAATTTATTCTCTCGAGCTTCCTTATCTGAACAATGGCCAATGGGGGCTATCTCGACGTCGATCACCCACGCACGGGATGGCTCAGAGCACTGCATGGATTTGAGATTGGGAGATGGAGGTGGGTTACGCTGTATGGGATCTCAGGGGTGCAGGGGTGGCTGATTGGACCCGAATCGGGAAATATTAATAGCCCATGCATGTCCCTGTTCAAAGCTTGCTTCAGGCGGCTGGCTGGAACACATTAGTACCTGTTCTGCACCCTGCAGCGCTGTGTTTCTGCCGTGGCGGATGGCATCTTGCTGCAGCATGTCAGTGAGGGTGAAGCAAAAATTGGGAATCCGATATTGATGGGATTTTGACAGAGGGACCTGAACGCCCATAGTTAGCCATACACGCTCCCTCCCGCTGACACTACACTAGTGACGCTGCTACTACTAAAGACCGAACTCAAGTGTACATTAGACATTAATAGGCAGAGTGGGTGAGGGTCGTGGAGAACACCAAAGTTGCCCGAGTCGGGACATTTTGTTTCACGATCAAAGCTCTGGCCGCCAAGAGATGGGAGGACCCGCCTTGGACCTCGAAACACATGCTAGAGAATGAATACGTAGTATGTAAGGTCCTTGGAACTGGACATACCGCCTCGTACTGCACATAGCGCTGCGTATGGCCTGAAGACCTGCAGTCACAGACAGAAGCCAAGCCGGCCTCAACAATATTGGATATCTGCCAGCTCGTGTTTCTGGCCTTGGCCTCACACTATTCACAGCTGGCTCGTAGGTGATTGCGCACGCCTGCCAAGGCCGCACAGTTTGCCGTTCGTTCCCTTTCAAAGAGAAGTTCCTGGTTGCGCTGCCTCCCTCCATACGTTCATCCAGCTATCTGTCTTTACTACAGCGCACACGCTACTGGCAGCAGTCTAAAGACGTCAACGGAACCCACAGACACGGCGTGTATCTATTCCTGACTACGGACAGCTGTAGCCAAACACTGGAGCTAAACACCAGCCTCTTCTTCTTTCTCCGCTTCCACTGGACACACGAAAATGGCCCGGGGAACGGAAAAAGATGCAGTGCAGACAGCTACTGCAGCAGACTGCGGCTCGGCGTAGTATCGATCGGTGACATCGACCCGGTATACTACGTAGTAGGTCCTCTTTCTTGCTAAATTCCCTCCGACGAAGCTCTACGGTCCAGGAGATGAGAATCCACCGTGACGAAACACCGCTCTGGCCGGACATGTACAGAAAACGACCGGGGGGGTTGCTGATAAGGTGGCTTCCCGTCCACTTTCGGTGGCCGTTGACCACACACCCATGAATTAACAGCGGCAGACAGGGTAACACACTTAACGCTTCCCGTTGACGGGTCGGTTATCCCAGCCGTCGAAGTTGAAATGGAAGTCAAAAAAGAGGGTCCCGTCCATCCCGTTGTTCCTCCCGGTTGCCTCTTCAGGTCTTCTCCCGGTCGGAAATGGGCTGGGCTCCCTTGGGCAGACTGCTTCGAGTTGATGGTCTCATCGAGAGCTGCTATATGCGTTATGGACAGCGTCAACACTTGATACGAGCCAGAACAAAGCTTCCCTGAGGTTTGATGCGAACTGTCGTCGCACATATCCAGTCTGATGTCCTTCGCCATTGACTGACATCTCGAATCTCGAAGCAACATGCTATACGAGACTACCTATACGAATCAATGACTTGGTGCCGCTGGCTGACCGCTGCCAGACCAAGAAAAACCCACAGACGATAGCCACAAAACGTGGTGGTTCTCTGTCTCGGCCCTTTACAGCCATCTTTCAGTCCTATTGACTGCAAACCATATTCCGGCCTGGCGAAAATAGAAACACTACTCCTATATATTTAGTGCGTTACGAGGCTGAGTAGAATACCACCACATAATACCAACCACGACCTACAGGATATGCTGTGAGTAAACAATTGGGACGAAAAAAAGAGAACCCCCAAAAAACAATACCGCTGTGGCTTGTATGCGCGCTACATCATGATCCCAAACGTACAAAACCCCTATCGCCGCCCGTTTCTATAATTGTGGGTTTCTTGGCGGCTCTTTTTTTTTCTCGTTTTCAAGACAGAAGCCGTTCAGTGTTGCGCGTCCGCTCGCGAACAGTGCCTCAATCATGATGCAACCGCCGCTCCGTTTGACCCCATCTCCCCCGGACAACTTGGCGTTCTACATATTTTTTGATGCTACACGATTGTCACCCACTAGAGCAATAACCGGACGCGTTTCCATTTAAGCCTCCATCGTGAACCAATAACGCTTTACTTGACGAGGAAAGCCAAGACGATGCATCACGAATCGATTTGCACGTTTGAGCTACCCGGGTGGGCGAGCAAAACGATGCCCTCCCCTCCCAATCCCACCTGTCAATGCTGCAGGAATATGTCGATTTGCATCGCTTGCTGACTTGGCTTTCAATAGCATGCCGGTGAGAGTTTTACCCCATCCCGGTCGGTGGCTCTCCTTGGCCAGATTGGGTGACATGATCTACCGCCGAGGGAAAATCTCCCCCTTAACTGCCCAGCGCTACCCGTTCTCTCTATCGCACAGAGATCCAGCGTCCACTTCCTGCGTCGCAACCGCCAAGCGCGCCTCGAAACGCGCAAGCCTGCGGTCCGCGATAAGCATTGCATGGCCGCATGCTCCGTACGCTGCCGTGCTTAATGCACTGCCCACTGCGGCCCTCGTCTTCGATTTGCGCCAAGGGTGTGGGACAGCCAGAATCCTGTGTTGAACAGTTGCTATTGCTGTGAGTGCAAATAATGACAGTGGACACAACCTCTTGGCGAGACCCTCACTATTTTCCCGATGAGCGAAACTGAAAATGGTTAGGGTTTGACAAGTGACGACAGACTACGTGAGAAGACACCAAACGGTGACTATAGAGGCCCAAGATATGCCCCCCTTGTCAATCATTTATGACGATAGACACAATAGTCAAGTCAAAGCCGCGTCGTCGTCTTCAGTCCACTAAACGACCGTCTGCACCATTGACGTGGACAATCGCCTTCACGATTCATCACCACTCACCAATGGTGTCTCTCTCGAATCGTTACTAGCTTTCAGCGCTGTGACGCATTCTGCATCTACGCTGTGCCATCCGTAGTGGGCCTCTCTAGTTGACGGTTAAGGACCTGCGCGAGACATGCACTGCTGCATGCAGATCGTTTACCAAAGCTGTTCGGCGTTGAGAGCACTGCATTTGCTTTTCCCCTGCACATATCCTGCTCGTAGTCCACTACCACTGCCATAAACTACAGGAGTGCAGACAAACCTGGCTTAACAGTTGAGGGGGCACATTACTCATGTACGGGGGGCCCTAAAGCGTCAAAGCATAGACATAGACATAACCCAGCTAAGCTGAATGTTTGGTTGAGGTATCCGCTCATCAAACACCCAACGCAGTCTGGAAACCCGCAACGACGAGTGTTCCCCCGAAAGTGCCCCCGAAAAGTCCCGACTCAAGCCAGAGAGAGACCAGGGTTTTTCCAGTTGTGAACCGGCGAGAAAACCATGTCGATTTCACATGTCGTTCATCCACCACCTTTTGATGCCCGACAGCGGAACCCGCCTGAGTCACCTCTCGCAGGATCCATGGCTGCACGTACCAAAGAGCACCGGGGCTATGGTTCAGCGGCTGGGCCACGCTGCCCAAGAGCCACGGCCCGCCTTTTGACGGGGGCCCTTTCAGAAGCCTAAACTACAGACAAAAAAAAGTTTAGATTGAAATTTTTTTTTTCCGCCTCACTGCTCGTATGGGTCGACATTAACCTTTTACTGGGTTCAAACCGGCCAGTCCGGTCATGATAATATTTACATCACGGCATTGTAATGGATGATGGTTCATCCACGAGGAGATAAGCCTCACTTGCATTAGTGATGGGAGGCCTGTAGTATAAACCTCTCTCTCTTGGCGGGCGTTTACCAGTTTGCCAAGCATGTTATATACACCCCGGTAGAAAAACTTGGCAAGTGCTTGTCCCCTCCCAGTTAGGCTACGTCTTGGTCGGTAACTATCAAGTCAGTAGGTCAGGTTTTGATTGCGTCAAAAAAGGGAAACACCTACGCCGTTTGAAAAGCCCACAATAGTCATGGTGCTGTTTAGGTAGGTAGTTGACGTTTCGTTGTGATGTTGACGCTTGCGCTTAAGTCGTCTGTAACCTCACCGCGCAAAATCCGGTCAGAGTTCATCGCAGAGTTGACTCGGTCAAAAATAGAGCCATGCAAAACCACTTGCCCCTCAAAAGCCCACTCACGATTTGTCTTGCCCTTCCGCCAGCAGAGATAATCCGGGGGGGGGGGGGGGGACTCCATAATCTTGAACCCCCGTTGGCAGAAGAAACACACCCAACGCTAGTCCGTCACACACTAACCCCGGGAGTAAATCATCCAGTTGCGTGGGGATGTTAACAAACACCAAGAAAACAAGAAATGATAAAGTGACGGGAGGAAAAAAGAAATGTACAAACTCCAGAATAGAAACAGCCCGACGCCAACGGGTGGGAACCGGCTCCGTAGCAGCGCCCCGACAATCCGAAACGGCTAACCCGGGCCCCGGTTGTCTCAAGGAGTAGTTGACAGCAGATCCCCGGTCTCCACCACGGGCTAACACTAACACAACACAGTTTCACACTTATTATTGGCTCTGTTGCTGAGGCAGTTTACGATAAGAGAAGGATCTTGCAGAGCCGCCGTGTTGTGTGATTCTCCAATGATGTTCTTGACTCTGATATCCTATGTCACTTGTGGAGTCGCGACTATTTCGAGAGCCTAGACATTCTCAGATACGAAGCTTAGAAGACAACACGTCACATTACACATCAGTATGACGATAATTTAGCGGCTGGAATAGGCGATCGGATTCCAAATTGTTTATTACATTGTCTAATGAAACTGTCGGGGTGACATGATTACAATGGATTGAATATCAAGGTGCCGGGCTTGCAATGACTTTGGAGGGACTCCCCATTAGAGTGGTACTTCTCGGACAGAAAAGGGGTTTAAAAATATGTTAGGATAGTAATTTACGTCTTTAGCACTTTTACTTGCCCCTGAAACCGCTCTTCACCCTTATCTGTCTCTTGATCGCATTGCCACTTTGATTGTAACCTCGAACAGTGTCTAAGCCTGTCCAGTTGGGACTGGCACATGACAGAATGACCAGCTGAGTTGGGAACAGCTACACGTGAGTGTTATAAAAAGGTATTGTCTCCGTACGGAGTTAGAGGAGTGTAGCAGAGTCACTCCGATACAGTCATGTCGATGATCAGTACAGCGAGTTCTCATGGCCAGATCTGACCGAAAAAAGGGGGAAAAAAAAGAAAAAGAGAAATGTCATCGTCATAAACTAACAAACTCAATCACGATCCAACCGGCTGGACACAAATGGACTGCCACCCCTGCCGGATAAACCAGCATGCTTGCGTGGACCAAAATATGTCTATGTTTACACACCCGTCTTTTACATTCGTCGAGGAGTCCAAACTCACGCACAACTCACGTCGTCACTCTCTGAGCAGTCATCGAGGGTTAGGCATGATATTCATCCTGTAATATGCCTATATACTATACATTCTGTGTCCAAACAATAAACTCCACACTGCTCATATTATAAGAACACCCTACACTGACAAAAGTTACCACAGCTCGCAAGCCGGCTTCTTGTCCTTGCATTGGAAGCTATCCTTGAACTCCCGACTGTTTGCCATAGTGCCAAGAATACGGGCCCACTTGGGAGCATGAGGGTCAGTATAGATGCGGTTGATAGCGGTGTCCTTGCGCGACTTGCCGCACCACCAGTTGGAGTATGTGACAAAGAAGAGCTGTTCCTGAGTAAAGTGCTCAAGACCAGGCAGATCCTTGTTAGGCTTCTCATGGGCGCGGCGCTTCCAGGCCTGGAAGGACGCGGAGAGACCGCCAGCGTCGGCAATGTTCTCGCCAAGCGTCAGACGTCCGTTTACGTGAAGGGGCTTATCATCAGGGCCTGGGACTGTGAAGTCGGAGTACTGCTTAATGAAGCACTCTGCGCGCTCTTGGAACGCCTCGACGGTAGAGTTGGACCACCAATCCGTGTAGTTGCCATTTTGGTCGTAGTGGCGTCCAGTGGAGTCAAAGGCGTGGGACAGTTCATGCCCGGCAACAGAACCAAAAGCGCCATAAGACATATAGGCAGGGACCTCGACATCAAAGACTGGGAACTGCATGATACCGGCGGGGAAGACAATCTCATTGCCCGGAGGGTTGTAGTAAGCGTTGACAGTCGGAACAGTCATGCCCCATTGCTCCCTGTCAACAGGCTTGCCCAGGGCGGACCACTCGTAGCCGACTGCAAAGTTGCGGACAGCCAAGGCATTCTTGAAGAAAGTATCGGAGTTGACCTCAACTGAGTCGTAAAACTTGTTCAGGCTTGGGGGATCCATAATGTCGGGGCTGCTGGTTGGGTAACCAATCTTCTGGATGATGTTGTGAACCTTGTCAATGGCCTTCTTGGTGGTTTCCTTGTCCATCCACTTAGTGGCCTTGAGCTTCTTGGTGAACTCCGTCTTGATATCAGTGATGATGGTGTCACCAAATTTTTTAGCCTTTTCAGAGAACGCCTTTTCGACGAAGAATCGACTAAGAATCCAGCCCAAGCCATCGTCAACGTGGCCAACGCAGGTGCGCCATCTCTCAGGAGCAGACTCGGGGTCCTGGGCAGGTTAGTATGGCCAACGTGAAGAAATAACTCAGTTACTTACCTTGCCAGCAAGCTCATTGACAAATCGTCGGTACGGCTTGACAGCATCAGCGTCAACGTAGGAGGAGAAGGACTGGATAGCCTTCCAGATGAAGTAGTTCTGGATGACTTCCTTGTCGGTCTCAGACAAGATGGTGGCGAGCTCCGTCATATACTTGGGGGCCATTACAATGACCCGCTCAACAACAAAGTTATCAGGAGACAACTCGTGGATCAGAGCTGTGAGCTCGATCTCGGGAGTGAGGGCAGCAGCCTCATCAATCAACATAGGGTTGTAGTATTTCTATGATCGTGTTAGCGAATGTACGGGTTTCCTATAGAGATCAACAACTCACAGTGACATCCTCACGCTCTTCAGTGCTGGGAGAAGCAGCGGCCAGGAGCTTCTCGAGATCGATGACCTTGGCGAAGTTGTCCTTGTTGTTGTCGGGATAGAGATTTCCAAGCACCTCAACTGCAACGCCTCGGTATTTCTCGACCAACTTCTCATCTTCATAACGCTCCTTGGAGGGAAGTCCAAGGTTCCATGGAGGCGCGACAGAGACAACAACTGTGTCAGGGTCCCGGTCATCTGCGCCTGTGCCAGTGGCGATGAAGGCATCAACACCATACTTGGCGAGGAGAAGGATAGTGTCCTTGATTGGGCTAGGGTCGTCGACCTTTGCGGCGGCCTTGAGCGGATATGCTTGCTTGATCTGGTCCAAGAGTTGTGCAAGAGGCTCGACACCAATGCTCTTGATCTTGTCCTCGTCGAGACAAGCATCATACGCAGCCTTCATTTTGTCGAAGTTCTCCTCGTCCGCATCCTTATCGTTGGCAAATAGCTTCATAGGGGAGAAGGACGAGTGCTGGTTTTGGGTTAACATGCTTCCTTTTAGTGATATCTCGTGGTGGCTACTCACTTTGGAATCCTTGGGATAGGGGGCCTCAAGAATGTGGCGTAGAAGGAGCTCCGAGTTCTCTGACATGATAGTGCCGGTGAAGGCATCGCCTTGGTCGGACCGGAGGTCGTGGCGGTCACGCCATCCGCCGCACACAAGCTCCTCGAAGTCGTTGCAAGGGTCGAGGTCCTTGTAGTTGGGAGAGAGATTGTACAATATCTCCGAAGCTGCGTGGACACAAGCTGGAGTCATGCACAACTTGGCAGACTTCTCTGCGCCGAAATGCTTTTGAGCTGGGCAAACGATGTCAGCAAGGAGAGGAAGCTCTTGAGAAAGGTTACCAACCTTGAGGAAGACCATAATACAACAGTCCGGCGACGGCGGCAAGGCTGAAGACCTTGGCGACACGCCTTCCGACAGAGCAGCGACCGGCATATGGGCAGCGCGGTGATGTTGCCGTCCCATAGGACTCGCTGGGTACGAGAGGCGCCTTCTCCGACATGATGGGCTACCACGCTGGAGAGAGCTCAATTGATTGCAGATAAGGTAAGGCGATAAGACGATGAAATAACCCAGCCAGCTGAGCTACGAGATATGGTGAAATCGCGGGGAGATGGGGAAGATTGGCTAGGTGTGATGTGGGTAAATAGGATGCAGGAAGGGAAAGTGGATCGGATCAGTGTCACCAGCCCCAAGGGAGCTCTGAGCTTGGAGCTTGGAAGCTCAGGGCGATGACGCCTAGATGCGGAGAAGGAGCTGCCTGGAGCTTGGGGCTGCAGTATGTTGGCGGGGAAACTTTGGGGAGCAAAAGTACTTTGCCACTCACACAAAATAGGTGTAGCCATTTGTATCTTGGATTTTGCTGTGACGGTCCGTGCATCGGGGAAATTCCCCTCCGCCGAATGTTGATCTTGGTTCTTCGAAGCCAAAATGAAGTGCTAGCAGCTTTTTGTGAGCCATGGAAAAACAATCATGGTTCAAAATGATTTCCTCTTACTAAAATGACCACTTCTGTAAACCTTTACTCGCTGCTGAACTTCCATCACCGTTTTGTTTCCTCCCCATTTGGCTTCTGCCTCCCCCTTTCAGTGGAAGCCCATTCTGTTCATAAGACATACCAGGCCCGTGAGTTACCGTGCCGAAACATCAACGCCTCAATCAACGTCAAAGTTGTCTTGTCGCTTGGGTCAAGTATGTTTCTGTATTAGCTTTGGAAGTTTTGTTTGATAGATGTCCGATCCCGAGCTTAGATAAGAAGGATTGCCATCTCGGTCAGCCTAAGGTATGAGCGGGCCCTATTATCACCTGACCAGTCTCAATGTGAGCGGCAAGCCAGTCTATTCATATCGCCATACTCGGAGCCAGATTAATGGCCGATGGAACCTCTACCATAACGGCTTCGAAAAAATCAGTGACCTTCGCATCTTGACATAAGGTACTATCAAGCGTCGCCCCAAAACCCGGTAACCACATGCAGGCCTAAAGATACCTACTTAGCAAATGCGTAAGCCAAGCTTACCCCACGCTGCAGAACGTTATGACGAACTACCTACGGAGTACTCCGGAAGGCTGGCCAAAGCAGTCGCTGCTCTTTAACTTGAAGACGCGTGTTCCGGCCGGTCTTTATGCAGACACGTTATGCATTTAATGTAAGGTCATATGACACAGCAGGGTGAACATATTAATTGTGCAAGAAAACTGCCAAAGATTTATAGTTAACTAGGAATTCTGTTCTATCTCAACTACTACGTAGAGTAAGCATAAATAATAAAGACATACACAACCTGAATGATTCTCCAGTGATTGCGCAGCCAAGACCAGCCAAGATCAGCCAATCTTATGACTCCAGCACCAGCGCGTCAGCATGTCAGTATCGCAGACTAGCTAGTTTTTCTTCTTTTGTGCCTAGAAAAAAAGTGACATGGTAGCGCTCCATCTCGTCACCTAAGTGGCAATAATAGATGCCATTAACATGACAGATTAAGTTCTCTTGAGCGAACCCGGTTATTGGGGAACAACACCAGGGCATCCTGCACAGTCGCTGTTATTTAGACGCGTGTACACAGTAGCAATCGTACACTGACGTAAAATGGGACGGGAGGTAATTATCCGCCTCCCATTCAGGCATTTTACCTCCCAACTGTAATTAGTATAAGCCTGTAGAAATCCAATAGCCAGCAAGTAGCCTACTATATTGTGTATGATACGGTTTTTTAAAGGCCTGAAATGTCTTCACATAGATTAGCTTGGCCGAGTCATCAGTAGATGCCTTACTCAACGGGTAGGAGTGGTCCGTTACCAGCAACTTCAGTGTTGCACGCCAAGTGTTTTTAATGGAAGCTCGGACAAAAGCTTCAATGATATGCAAGTCATACGCGGAACTTTACCAGACAGTGCCCGCAACAGTCACAAAGAAACAATACAGATCCCAGCTAGACCTTCGTATCGCCTGCATTATCGTCTCTCATTGGCTTGTGGTATTGGCTTCGCGGTCTCGGACTTTTACCGTCGCCGTCTTCATGCTCGGTCTTTTCGAGATTGCCTAGTTGCTTACTTACCGATTTGATATAGCCGAAGAAGAGGCAAAGCAAGTCAGAATGCCAAGAAATGAAGGGTGAGCCGAATCAATGTACTCATGAGTCGGAATAGCATTGTTAATTGAGGTACATTTTAGAAATAAACCATGATGAAATCGCTTAACCATTTGGCTGCACTTGTGCCTGAACATCATAACGTTTTTTTTTTTTTTTTTTTGGCTTTTTTTTGGCACAGCGCTCGCCCATCCAAGTTTGACTACGTGTTGAGCAAGCGATGAGCTACTCCTGAGCTGAACATTATATTTCTAGACTAGCGATGTTATGATCCTGAGTCGGATATTTGATCCCAGTCCAAGTTTCAGTGTCGTCTCAATGGCTAAAATTCTTCCCCGTTCCATGACAGTGGGTTCCATCCACACCAGCAGCTCCCTACGGTCATCCACGGAAAGCCCGGATAAACCCAGGTCGGATACACCCGGAAAATAAAGTGAAAAGTTGCATTAACTCAAGCGAGTAATTAATTCTATATTTCTAAAACTCTAATAACTGGCACCAGATAGCCCTTGGTGCTGAGCCTTTGCGGCGGTCTGTAACCGCCCTGATCTCTATACTACCTACCTAGTTACTCAAACAAGGACTTACCTTCCCCGTATCACGAATCGTCGACCTGAAGTCCCCACGGGCCAAGCCGGTAGGTAAGAGACTGTGGAACCGAGTACCAAGGTAGGAAAAGAAGCATTTAAATTATCACAATCAGACTGGGGCCATTTGGCTGCTTCACACTCGGATTCGTATCCCGTATGCAGCCTGCGGTAACGCAGTGAATCAGTGGACGGATTCACACTTCGTCATGAGTCATAATAGCTACCTAGAGACTAGCCAAGACATATCTATTTGCTCCAATGTATGATTCAAATTATGAACAACCCTCTGGGGTGGCAATGCCGGATTATCGCTGTTTTACCGACGACGTTTTGGATAAGGCAAGGTAACTTGGGTCTCCATTTTTTGGTGAGAACAAGAGCAAAGGGGCATGGAATAGCTGAAGCTAACAAGCTAACACAGCCTTCGCGATGGGGGCCAGCTAAATGAAATAAGGTCACCTTGCGGATGGAAGAGATTTCTAAAGGGCATGGATTTAGATATAAAGCCTTCTGTATCTCCCCTTCATCCCACACGGCTTTCATGAGCATACTCAACCAACTACTACTCGCAGAGTTTACGTTCTATCGCCTTCCTATTAAGCAAAAGATCAGATCTCAACGTACAAAATGCGTTTCACATTCATCTCACTGCTCTCTCTGTCCGCCCTTGCGCTTGCGGCTCCCGCACCCGAGCCTGCGCCGCAAGGAAATGTTGCTCCTACATGCAGCAAAGCCAGTGACTGCGGAAACTTCTGCACACCACCCTGCACGAGGCCGTTTTGTGGCCTGTCTGCTTTTGGGTACCTTACTCCGAAGTCCTACTCGATGGACACATACAGCTTCGGAAAGTCAAGGAAACACCATATACTAACAATGTAATGATATAGAGATCAGCGCTGCTTCTGTGGATGCTAAAGCAACTATGTACCAAAAAATGTGGTACCTACCTAGTACTACCGTGAAGGACACATATGGGCTGGAAAGATATTGCTAGGAGAAATTATCATACCCAGTGGTTGATTCACTGTGAAATGACTGGCCAAGAAGTGGTAGTCGCTTGTAACTTAAAACAAACTAGTTGGACTTTCTCGTTCTGTATATTCAGCAATCCATGCCAAATTTTGCTTGACTGTCATGGAATCGCCCCTTCCAACAACGGATTTAGCTTTTACACGTATTTCAACTTAATCTGATTCAGCGTCTCGGTGCTGCATGAGAAGTTTTAACGTCTTCCTACTATCGCTTCATAAATACAGGCAAAGGGGCAAAATTCGGATCCCTCTCAGTCAAATTTTACTGTTAAATGGACGCAACAATGCCTGTGGCTGGGCGAGCACATCACAGTTATCTGCGGACCCACGACACGGCAGAGAGCTCCCTAGACTCAATCTACCGAGGAGGTTGTAAAGGGCTGTAGTATGCTGCCGGGTGTGAATTATGAATCATGATACACTTCAAAGTGAGCTGCCTGCAGGGTTGTTATAACAAGGAGGGCCAGCCCCATGCTTAGCTGCCAGTCATAGAATACATACTTCCAACCCATGCCTTCTTCATCCCTTCCATGTTACCATCCGATCTCCAATTGTATTACCCTTTATCACTGTATTATTAGTTGGGGATTGTAGACCATGCGTGAACAAGTATCATATGACAAAGAGACCGAACGGGGCCGGTGATATTGCCAATTACCACCTCGTAGAAAAACTATACATGCACTCCCGATTTAGCCTTGGTCTCTTAGAAAGTTTTCTGGATCTACCAGTAGCAGAACGCACTATAACCCCATGAAAACCCCATGAATTTCCCTCCTTAATACGTGGTTGCTCAAGCTTAAATTCTGCTCCAACAGCTTATTTGTGGAGGCCTAATAATCAGCCTGTGGTTGCATTGGAACTTTGTGCAATGGTATAAAATGTATTATGTATCCACAAATATTATGAATTCCCGACTCACGAAGACTAGTTTCACCCGTGCTAGGGCGGCAAGGACGCTAATCCTATTTAATCTGACCTGCCTCCTCGTCCTGTCTGTCCAAACGACAGCTCATTCAAGCATCCTTCGGAGTTATATCCTGCAGGAAATGCAGCATGACCGGCCTGATTCTCCGCTCTGTGATGTTGCATTACATGAACGCTACACAGGATAGGAAGCTCCCAACACGACATCAAGTATGATGAAGCGTCAAAGCTGGCATTCTCCCGGCGCCCGATTAAGATCCCTGGCTGCCGATGCCTCACTCGTCATTGATAGCCTGCCTTGATTGTCATTTGAAAAAAAGATTGCGCTACGGAAGAAGTGAGGGGAACATGATGATTGCCGAGGGGAAGGGCCAGCTTACTCAAGGTAGGTATAAAGACATGAGAAGAGAGACATAACTCTCGCCATTCCGAACCTGCCCGGCAACTTGTTCCAACATTTTATCTTCTCTTAACCGGGTAAAGTAACCATGCATCGAACAGTTTTGGCCGTAGGAGTTGCTCTTACTGGCGTGTTCGCCTGCATGCGTGACTGGGAAGAGCTTCATAAACGCATCACCAGCCACAAACATCATAGTCATGGACACAAAAAGCGGGACTTGGCCGTTGAATACCCGCCTTCCCTAACAGAACATGAGACTATTCTTGTCAACTCGTTTGACAGCAAGGCATTGGATGAGTGGTCACATTACTACACTCATGGAGACCATCTTGGCGGACACAATAGGACGCAGGCTGAATGGACCCAGGATCAATGGGCCAACGCCGGTTGGGATGCTCACATTGAAGAATATTGGATCTGGTACACTGCGCCTTTGGAAACAACTCTAAAGCTAAACCGACCGGATGGAAGCGTTCACCAAGTCAGTTTGATTGAAGATATGCTCGAGGAAGATTCAACCACCAGCTATCCCAACCGTATACCTGCCTACCATGCAATGAGTGGGAGTGGAAACATCAGTGCAGAATACGTTTATGTTGGGTATGCTTGCAACGGCCTATACAAGGCCTGAAAAATGGAGCATTTTTAACGTATTTCTTCAGACGTGGCCAGCGAGCAGACTTCCAGGCCTTGAAAGATGCTGGTATTGAGTTGGAAGGGAAAATTGCGCTCTCCATGTATGGTGGCATCTACAGAGGCACTAAAGTAAAGAACGCTCAAGTAAGTTGAAATTTAGATTTGTGTTAAAGAAGTCGGTAATATTGAGATACAGGATTTAGGACAACGGTATGATTGGCGCAGTTCTATTCACCGATCCCCTTGACGATGGCGAGATCACGGTTGCAAACGGCTATGCTGCATACCCAGGTTTGTCGAACATTGCACCACAGAATCGTGTTCGGAGGCTTTAACTGATGTAATATGTAGATGGTCCGGCTCGCAACCCTTCAATGATTCAAAGGGGCAGCGTCCGCTTCTCCTCTCTTTACTCCGGAGACCCTTCTACTGTTGGGTACGCATCGGAGAAGGATGGCCCGAGGAACGACGTCACACCATACAACCCGACCATTCCTTCAGTACCTATTAGTATGAAGGATGCGGCTCCCCTGCTCGCTGCTCTGGATGGAAATGGAATTTCTGCTGAAAAGGTCAACCGTAGCAGTTGGATTGGTGCGCTACCCAACATCACTTACAGTAGCGGACCAACGCCCGGAGCAACGCTGGACATGGTTCATTTCATGAACCAGACAATTGCCCCAGCTTGGGACGTAATTGGCGTAATTAACGGAACCAAGGAGGATGAAGTGCTCATAATCGGAAACCACCGCGACGCTTGGGTTATCGGAGGCGCTGCAGACCCCAATTCAGGTTCGGCTGTTCTAATTGAGCTTGCGAGAGCTTTTGGCAAGCTTGTAGAGAAGGGATGGAAGCCAAGGAGAACAATGTGAGTTTTTCAGCGACAGCTGTTTCGCAAGTATGCCACTGGAACTAATCAACTATTTTCAAAGCATCCTTGGTTCTTGGGATGCTGAGGAGTTCGGCCTTCAAGGCTCGACTGAATGGGTTGAGAGCCACCTGCCATGGCTCGTTACGAACACTGTAGCCTACCTCAATTTGGATGTCGCCGTCTCTGGCCCGCGTACAGCTCTTTCTGGATCAGGCGAGATTCAGACAATAGCTATTGAAATGATGAAGAAGGTTCTTTTCCCCGAGGACTGGGGTGTTGGCCCGACATTGTACGACATGTGGTTCAACACTACAGAGGGTGAAATAGCACCTTTAGGAAGTGGCAGTGATTACGCCGCTTTCTATCACAACGGTATCAGCGCGGTGAGCTTGAAGTTATCAAATGGCTAAGTAATCAATTCTGACTCGCGATGTAGATCGACATGGGATCTGATGGTGGAAAAACTGATCCTGTTTATCACTACCATGGGTATGTATCCTGATCATTTGACGGAGCACAATGCTTACATGTTCAGACACTATGACTCGTACGCATGGATGGCCAAGTTCGGAGACCCAGGCTTCAAGATTCACAGGGTGATGGGTCAATGGATCTCGCTGATTGCTTATCACATCGCTAACGACGTTATCATCCCGTGGGACATGCCTAACGCGGGAAGAGTTCTCCGCACTTACTACGAGGATCTCAACGAAACTATTGCCGAAGATTATCCTTCGCTGAATCTCGACTTGTCACTTATTCAGGACGCGGTTACCAAGTTTGAAACAGCGGCAGAACGTATCAGTACAGTTGCAAAGCAAGCACTAGCCTTTAACGATACTGTTCTTATCGACGTAGTGAACAGCAAGTACCGTGACTTCTCTCGCGGATTCGCCAGCGTGGGTGGCCTCCCCGGACGTCCGACATTCCACAATGTCATCAGCGCTCCTGGCCTTGATAACGGCTACGGAGCTGACGTCTTCCCCGCGATTCAAGACAGTTTGAGTTCCGACAATGAAGAACAGGCACGCGAGTGGGTTGAGAAAAGCGCACTCGCAGTCTCTCGCGCCGCGGAGATCTTGCATATCTAACAAGAGTTGATTATGATAAAGTCTTACTAAGAATACATTATATGCTTTGCAAAAGGTATTGGTGAGCCAGCCAATGCTACTAATGTCTAAAATATGGGTATTTCCTAAATCTCTTTCGCATGCATCCTCCTATCATAACCACTCTATCGCGTCACCACTCACTGACTTTGCTTCCCTTGTGTGATCCCCCATATAAGGAACGATCTCCGTGCTCGCTGGGTGAAACATCCATCAAACTATCGCTGGTAAGAAGCCTTCTCAGAGGTACACGGTCTGATGCAAAAGTGGTATTTGAATTGCCCCTTTTCGTGTGTGAAGTAGAGCTCTCGGGAATGTCATCCGTGGGTATCGTTGCGATATCCTGGGACACGATTTTAACGTTTCCGGTGGCCCTGCTGGATTGCCTTGCGGAACTCATGTGAGTGGCGTAGAGCAGCTCAGGGAAAAGATGTCGGACAAGAGATCGTGCGGCTGGCATACACGCGACGATCATGCCGATGCAGAGTTCAATGTGTGACCAGAGAGCAAGGTTAAAGAAATCATCTGAAAAGCCGTTTAGTTGCAAAATTAAATCGTGAAGAAGAAGTTGAAACGTACAGGTTGGGTTCCACGAGTGACTAAAGGACGAAACACTTCTCAGTCGGACGACGCTGACAATGGTGATGCTACAAATCGGTCAGATCGAGAACTCCGCTTATAGGGTTCATGTTGAATAGATACTCACAAGATTCCGGCGCCAAACATGGACATGATGCCAGCTTTTTGTCTCTTTTGGAGGTTGAGCTTGTAGACCTGGGTTAACGGAAGTAAAAGCATCCAAACATCCATGGCGATGTTGAAGGCGGCGTGGGAGAGCGTCATAGCCGATAAATCGATGCAGTAACCCGGATATTTTCCGTCCCATCCATGCCAAAAGTAACTGAGCGGCTTGCATTGATTGAAGTTCACAATAATAAATGTGATGCAAACGGCGGCGTTAAAGATTTGTGTAGCCCACAGAATCTGGCGGAAAGTCTCTGTTATCGAGCCGAAAATGCGCAAGTATAGAAAAAGGATTGACGCTTTGATGACCGCGAGAGTCACGGAATAGACAATTTCGAAAGCGAAAAAGCCCTATGCCAAAAAAATCAGCGACAATGCTAGAAATGGAAAAAGAAGAGGTTTCCACTTACCTTGATGAAAGCTGTTATCTGTTCTACGGTGAGGGTCCAGATATCTCGACCGATTCCCTGGCTTCTAGCTAATAAACCATTAGCTTCCGAAATCCCCGTTAGAGCAGAGGGCTACAATTAACGTACCGAGAAGTGTTGCGGCTAAGAACGCAATCATCATGAACTATATGCCCGGTCATCAGTTTGAGGTCTGCTACGAAGAACATCATTTCTGAGCCTACATATGCAAACGAAATGGTCCAGTCGTCCCATCCCCATGTCGCCAGCTTCATCCACTTGGTTGCTAATCGCATTCCAAAAAATAGCGAGAGAACCCCGAACAAGAAAGAAGGAACCCATTGAATTGTTGCTCCTTCATCGTGAAAGGCAAAACCGCATTCAGTCCACGTCGAGTTCTTCGTAACTAGGAGCTTTAGCATCAGTGATGGTCTTATTGTCTTTGGCAGACGGAGAATTACTGAGGGCTTGTTGGACGCTGCACTGAACCCTAACGCAGTGGATAACGGCCATGTTATATTTCATGTCGTCGCACAAACATGTGTCGTTGGCGGCCGCGCATGGCGTATATTCGAGAGCTGGTGAAAGACAGGACTCCTATAACGATTTGAGTTAGGAACCAAACATGGGATGATGAGGACGACGAATTATCGCAACCATCATTATTACCGGTCAATGTACTGGGATATACCTACTGCGCAATCAGGGACAGTATCGTAGAGGCCATGCACAAGCGGTATGCAGGCAATACAATAGAGGGCCAAGTACAATAGTTTCATTGCAATTGTTGGAAGGTGGTATCAAATTGCGAAGACCATCAGCGCATAACGGAAGGGTCGTCTCGGTGGCTAGAGAATTTTTGACATCAATTGTAACAGCCGACGTTGAGAAAATGAGGGAAGAGAGACACTCAAGAAGGACATTTGGGGCAGACACGTCACATAAGGTGGTCAATATGGTGTGGGCGGGGTCCGGGTCTGCCGCATCTTACGGGGCGATGTTGTGTAAGCCACGGCGGCAAGTGTGAAGAGGTGACCGGGTGCGGTCGATCTCGTCTAGACCTTTGTGGCTGGCATGAGCAAGTGAACATCGGGTCTATGACAACGCTAACACTGGCGTTGACAGCTTGGCCTGGCCGTCTCACCCAAGCTTGGCTTTTGTGTCACAATTCTCACCACAAGCTTATTAACTAACACCAACAGCCAGTGCGAGCCAGACCCTTGTAGACCCTTTAGCAGTACCTACCTAGTAGGCAGAGGTCTCAGATGACAGCTGTGACAACACCAGGGACGTTCAAGGGCTGGAAAAAGATGAGTGTGACGGCGAAGGATGTTCCTTACCAAGGCCTTTTGCCTCGGCTTACAAAGTATTTTTCGCCATTCCATTGGTTTGGAGTCCAGGTTCACCTACTTATGATGTGATTTCTTATGGTGAATGTTGATTGAAATCCTACAGTTTATACTGGGTAATCGCACTTCCACAGGCCAGCGGAGGATAAGAAATACGGCGAGACCCCGATTGGGGCTCACAGGTGACATGTTTGTGAGGTGCTACAGTCTCATTTTAACTGAATGCGTCACGAAAACAGGGTTGTACTTACCTCCGCTCTAGCCTTCTTTGTACCTGTAAGGGCTGCCAAGATCACGGTAGAGGCTTAGTTGAAAATTTACTTTGACAGGGACTTTTATGGCTTGCATTTGATCGACGCCCAGCTTCTGGGCTCTCCACTGTTTACGGGCAAGAGTATGCAAAGGCAAACACCACTTAAATCGACTCTTGGGAACTTTTGGTTCTTTTCGTTCACAATTATTCGCTTAGTTTGTCCATTTATTAATAGCACTTCAAGATAACGTTAGGTTTAGCTGCAAAGTGGCGTCGGGAAAGAGGTGAAATGCCGTTGAGAACCACAACCCTGGGACACCGGCCGTCTCCCTCCCAGCTGATAGCGTATCGGCCATCTTCTGTGGGCGAGAACCGGCACAGAACGCTCAGAATGGGAAAAGTGGTGTTGTTGGTTGGAAGAACTAACTAACTGGCTAGAGGGCTGTGGAGGCTGGCTAAGACCAGTGGTGGCGGCCGTCAGCCCACGTGACGGGCCGGCGAGGCCTGCCACCCACACCCCCTCTCAGACTCCTTAGCGAAAAAGAATAATAGGAAAATACAGGAAAAGTCCCAATTCCTCCAAATCCGAGGAGTTCTCAACTATTAGAAAACTCGGTCAATTACCGGTTAGACCTAGCTAATAGGAGGCTGTAAAATCCTCCGAATCCCGAAGTCTTAATATTAATAGTCTTATAGTCTCCAAATCCCCCTTCTTAATCTAATCCCTCCGCTATGCCTAACAAACGAACGAATTCCTTGTGTTTAACCGTAACTAGTAGCTTCGTAAGTCTATCGGCAGCCATATCAGCGCCCTTGATAAGTCGGAGTTCGATGCTTTTCATAGTATAAACCTCCTATATAATCTATTTATATTAGACGTCGATATAGCAGGTTCGTACCTTGTTAAGTAGGTTTATAACGTTATTATAGCCGTTAGTATTATTAGTAAATATAATAGTAGGCATAGTAATAGGTTTGCTAAGCAGTTAGGAAAGGCAACGTCTAATCTACTTTATAATAATTATTATAAGTATAAGATTAATAAATTTAGCCTCCGTAATGCTTAAAGTTACGAAAGTCTATTTCTTTGACTTCTAAGCAATCGGCATACTAGCAAGGAAGACGATATAACTACCTATTAAGACTTATAATAGCTTATTATTAGCGAAAGAAGTATTTATAATAGCGTAAAGCCTTAACTTATTAATTATAAAGATGCTTCTAAGTATAATACCGAGATAAATAATACTTTTAAAGTATTAGAATAAGTACTTAATAATACGAAGATAGGCTTTAGAAGGCTTTGAATTTGCTTATAATAATTTACTAATAGTATAGGCTATATTAATGCAAGTTCTAGCTACTAAGAAGTTAAGGTAGCTAGTCTATTTAATATAAAGTTGCTATTTATTAAGTAAGTAACGTACATGATAAGCGAGTGAGACAGACAAGCGAGTGAGACAGTAAACCGCGACCGTCGCACCTTGACGCGACCGGCACCTTTTCCTCTACAATAAATCATGGAATCAGCTAGTATTGAAAGAAGGTTACAAATTGCCCTTCAAGCAATGAGAAATGACCCAAAACTTAGTGCTCGGGCCGCAGGTGCACTCTATACAGTCAGTCACGCAACATTAAGCCGGCGACTAAAGGGAATAGTCTCACGACGCGACAGCATGCCTAATTCACGGAATTTATCAGATTTAGAAGAGAAGACAATAGTTGAGTATATTCTCGACCTAGATGCGCGATCATTTCCTCCCCGGCTGAGTGGTGTGGAAGAAATGGCCAATCGACTTCTCGCAGAGCGCGACGCGCCTCCAGTTGGGAAGCGCTGGGCTTCTAATTTCGTCAAGCGACAACCACAGCTTAGGACGCGTTTCTTTCGCAAGTATGACTATAAGAGAGCTCAATGCGAAGATCCAGAGGTGATTCGTGGCTGGTTTTCGCTTGTGAAGAATACAATTGCGAAGTATGGTATTGCTGATGCTGATATCTACAACTTTGATGAGACCGGCTTTATGATGGGCGTTATTGCTTCTGGAATGGTTGTTACAAGTGCTGAAAGGCGTTCAAATACGAAGATGACACAGCCTGGCAATAGGGAATGGGTTACAGTTATCCAGGCTATTAATTCCCAAGGGGAGAGCATCCCGCCATACATCATCGTTGCAGGCCAGTATCACCTCTCAAGCTGGTATACAGAAACCTCTCTTCCGGGCGATTGGGCTATTGCAACGTCTGAAAATGGATGGACAACAAACGAGAGAGGTATTGACTGGATCAGACACTTCGACATTTATACAAAACCACGTACGTCTGGGAAATATCGCCTCCTCGTTGTTGATGGTCATGAAAGTCACCACTCCGCAGCCTTCGAGCTCTTTTGTCAAGAAAACAACATTATTACACTGTGCATGCCGGCTCACTCGTCTCATCTACTTCAACCCTTAGATGTTGGTTGTTTTCAGCCGTTAAAGAATGCCTACGGTCGGCAAATTGAGAATAAGATGCGGCGAGGCACAACCCATATCTCGAAGGAAGATTTCTTTACAGCATTTCACGAAGCTTTTAAGCAGTCTTTTACGAGGAAAAATATCCAGGGAGGTTTCCGAGGAGCTGGACTTGTCCCTTTGAATGCAGAAAGTGTTCTCTCAAAGCTGGATGTAAAGTTCCGAACGCCAACGCCTGAGGAGGGGGTCCCTCAGACACCAGACCCTTGGATCTCTAGGACGCCGAGCAACCCAAGCGAAGCAAGATCACAGTCTACTTTTATTAAGAGTCGAATCTCACGCCACCGAAGCAGCTCTCCAGCATCAATTTATAGTGCTGTGAGTAAGCTAGCCAGAGGGACAGAAGGACTAGGGCATCGGGTAGCATTACTAGAGTCAGAGGTTCAAATCCTTCGAGAGGAGAATGCAATATTAAGTCGGCGTCGAAGGGCTAAGAAAACACGTCTACAGAAAGGAGGAAGTCTTACTATATCTACTGGAGAGGATATACAGTCGCAAAGAGAGGCAGACACGCAACTACAAGAGGAAACGCGACGGAGTAGTGGTCGCAAAGTGAGGTCTGAGACGACTCATCGTCGGTGTGGCGTATGCGGGAATACAGGCCACAACGCGAGAACATGTCAATTTATTGAGGAAACATCCGAAGAACAGGAATCCGAGTAGTATTAATCAATCTAAGATTTCTTGTTATAGATTTCGATATTATTGTCGCGAAGGTCTGGTTTACTGTCTCACTCGCTTGTCTGTCTCACTCGCTTATCATGTACGTTATTTATTCTTATCTTAAGTAATAAGCAGATCGTTAGTAGTCGTTATAAGCATCTTAATAATATTTAAACTATTAAAGTCAAATTATTAAAGTATTGCTGTTATATATTTAGCTTAGGAAACGAAAATCTTACTAGTAGCCCTATCGCGTTTAATTTAGAAACCGAGAAAATCGGTAGCCTTGCCGAGGTTTTTAAGAGAACAGACCTTCTCGAAGAGACGATAAACTTCTATTATAACTTACTTATTAGGAGCGGTAATAGCGTTATCGTCGATATATATAAAAACGTATGCTTTAATCTTATAATTAACGAAGAGACAAACCTCCCTATTAATAATAGTAAAGCTAATTCGTTCTATTTTACTTTGGGAATTGATAGGGACGCATCACGAATTGATAGGGACGCATCATCCTTAGGGACGCATCACATTCTAAGGTTGTGATTGGCTAGAAATTTTGGTGACCCACAGGTACAAGTCGGCGAAGGCGGTGAGGCCAGCGTTGCTAACGCCCCACCTTTTCACAGCCATAAGAGGCCTGCCTCCGTTTCATAGACATAAAGCCGGCCCGCCCTACTAGCCTACGTTTCTTGGCTATTCCTCCCATTTGAGATTTGCAAAACCATCTAAACGACCGCTTTTGCAAATCTCAAATGGTAGGTCTTTTTCTTCCCTTCTAAGGAGGAATTGGGTTTTATCAAACTAAACTGAAACGGCTTTTATAAATCTCAATTGATTTCTACTTCTATTTCCTCTTATATAATAATAAAGAATGCCCCCCCTACCCTCAACGTTTGAGACTCTCATCACTACTACTAAGTAGTTCCCATTGACTCCTCGTCCTACGGATGCTTGCCTGTAATCTTCTTCCATTCGAACGAAGGCCAGTTGATCGG